AATCGCGAATGAAATTTTTCAATTTAATCGTTGATTAAACAGCCTGCCTTTTCGACTGCGAAAAGGTCGAAGCTGTTGCGAGTAACGGATCCAAATTCATGCAGAATGGAAAGGAGAGGAAGTGCTGGGAGCCATAGAGCAGCCAGTAGCCAGCCATAAGATGAAGGAAGCTTTGTCTTAAACGATATCGGTAAGTGGAAATCAGTGGTTGGGTGGCGCCTCCTCCCTCTGCCCTTAAGGGCTTCTCTCGTTCACGCTCCTGGAATCGCGTCTACGACGTCGAACCGACGGCCGACTACCGGGAACTTGCTAACTTCATTAAAATATTGCCATCAACACCGGGCCCCATTGTCTTACTCCGAACCGGCCGATTAAACCTGCTCACCCTTCCCCCACCCCCTTTTTTCACCGACGAACAGTAGCTGCATTTTCTTTGTGCACGCGTTACCACAGCCTCGTGTTCGATAAAAACCAACGAGTTTCTTGATGTACAGCGTCAAGAATGGTGGACTTTCCTAGGGGAAATGGCAGTGTAGGGGAAAAAGGTCCCATCAAACTTCTATTTTGGGAAAAATGAATATAAATTTTGAAGTTTCAAGATTCATGAATTTACAGCCCTGTTTCCCCTAGAGCGCCATTTTCCCTAGGGAAGTCCTCCATCCTCCCCATTTACGTCGTTCGATAAAAACATATCCCAGCAGCCAGTGTTCTTACAAGAAAGGTAAGAAGAAAATACAATGCCACTTCATCGACTATTTTCATTTTTCTTGATGTATGTACAGCGTCGAGCATGGTGGACTTTCCTAGGGGAAATGGCAATGCAGGGGAAAAAGGTCGCATCAAACTTCTATTTTGGGAAAAATTAACACAAGTTTTGAAGTTTTCAGCCCTTTTTCCCCTAGATCCCCATTTTCCCTAGGAAAGCACTCCATGCTCGGTACTGTACACTTGCAAGTTTTAATCACGATTACTCGTTTACGTCGTTCGATAAAAACATATCCCTGCAGCCAGTGTTCTTACAAGGAAGGTAAGAAGAAAATACAATGCCACTTCATCGACTATTTTCATTTTTCTTGATGTACAGTGTCGAGCATGGTGGACTTTTCTAGGGGAAATGGCAATGCAGGGGAAAAATGTCCCATCAAACTTCTAATCTTGGGAAAAATTAACACAAGTTTTGAAGTTTTCAGCCCTTTTTCCCCTAGATCCCCATTTTCCCTAGGAAAGCACTCCATGCTCGGTACTGTACACTTGCAAGTTTTAATCACGATTACTCGTTTACGTCGTTCGATAGAAACATATCCCAGTAACCAGTGTTCCTACAAGAAAGGTAAGAAGAAAACGCAATGCTCCGAAGTAGAAAGATCGTCGAGGCAGCTGGCAATTCCAGGGGAGCGTACGCGCTTCTCTTTCTGTGGCTGCGCTAAGAATTCTGGACGTTTTGCACGTACGATGGAACGAGCTTAATGGCAGCGGAGTCGAGCAAAACGGATGACAAAGAGCCTTTAACGATGTCCGCGGTGACCGGTTGAGTGACGCAGGACACGAGCCTGCGGGGCTTCTTTGGGCAATTGAAAGAAAAGAAGGACGCGACGCGTTTTGAAGCGGCAACGCGCTCGCAACACGGACCACGCACGTCGTACGAAGAAGCTGCTCGTTCCTGTGCTTTTTTGCCACGGCTGTAATTGAGCCTGTCTCGTCGAGCTACCGTCTAAATGAATTACGAGGCGCCGCGCCGTACACGGCACGAGCAACGAGCCTCTTCTTCGCCTCCACCCTACGTTCGATACAACCTCCTTCGCACAGACTTTCCGCAACACTCGACGATTCTTATACGAGATACAATTTCATTTCACCGACTGATTCCACGGGTTCCTTCAACCTGATTAATTATCGAAATTTACTTGACCGAACGCCCTCTACCCTTGTAACGAATCATCCTCCTCTCCTCTATTTTTAAAAAGAATTTCTGCCATATTTTTATATGTAATATATATTGAAATCGTGTAAAATTTTCTGTATCCGTGAAAAAAAATATCGTGCTAGTTCATATATTATGGAAACATTGATTACAGTGCATGTGTCTGTTATAAATAATTAATAAGTAACTGCTAAGTCGATGTTTGCTCTATTGTTCCTCAATGTACACGTTCTAATACGTGTAAATTAGAACGGTGTTCAGTGAAAAATGTGAGAAAAAAATTATAAATTTAAAGCGGGGATGAATGCACATGGGTGCATGGACGATTAAATATTCGGAAATTTGACAAAGAATGCCTTTGTGAATATAATTTGCGGAGTTCGTCGTTAATTAAGTGCAGCCTGAAAAATTCTATTCCCCGAAGAGGAAGGCGGATGAATCAAAGAAGAGTGAACAGGAATTACAAGCTGCTTGTAATTAACGACAGACCCCGTGAATTATGAAGGGAAAAAATGATACGAGTGATATCTAATGTGAATATTTTGAATTGAATATATTCTGTCGATCCCTTATCATGGATCGATCAAGTTATCGATTGAAGAATAAAAAATATTATTGATCGGTAATTACCGACTATTGAACAAAGAGAATGTGGAGAATAATATCGACAGATGGCGCAGTACAATATATCCAATACAGTTTTTCCCTCGCAAGAAATTCATACCACATTTTTTATTATTAACACTAGAACTACCGACATTTTATGCACACTTATTTGAAAATAATGTAGATTACTAAATAGATAAAGGATGAAATATAATTTAATACAATAATACATTCATTATTTAGCTCCATAACAGTCAACATACATTTAACCAAAAATACCTCGATAAAATTTATAATTTAAAATAAGAAACTGGAAATCAGTGATTTTTATCCCTTTGGTAGTTCTAGTGTTAAAAGGCACAAGCCATAATAATTCATAATATGAAAACTGACTCACCGATTCTGTTGTCCACGGCGTCACTTTGGTCCTGTGTGGTTTGAAGGTCCAAAAGAGCCTCATGGTGGTTTTTCGAAGTGTTCATCATAAATGTCTCTCCAGAAATCACCTGCAATATCAAAGCAAAAATCTTTCGTTGTTATTTGCATATAAATCAATTATTCAAATCAATCATTTGAAATTACGTTTCGAATAACCTTCGTTTAGTATTTGCAACGAAAGGTATTCGACTTGTTGATATTCGATTGATCGGAGAGAAATGGTTATATCTTTTTCTATTATTTGCTTAGAGAATTGCTTACCATCACTTTTTGCTACTGTTGAGATAGATTTAAGCACAAATCTCATCTTCTTTTCACTTTAATATACTACAACGTGCTTCACTTAACAAGCGTCTTCACGAAATAGTTGAATTACCAATTTTTTAATATCGAAGCCGCTCATTGGATACCAGTTCAATGAGAGGAAGGCTGTGATTGGCGAATTACTAACTTGACGAACCAATCATATTAAGGCGCGATATACAAACTGCAATTTAGTTATTTCTTTATTTATATATACCTAATGAAATATAATTAATACAAATAAGATCTTTGTATAATATTTAATATGGGTTTCTAAAACAGAAACTTGCCTAGTTGTGTTTAGTTACATTCTATTAATAGATGTAAATTCTACCGCGAATATGAACCATCTTAAGCACCATTACTGTTTATAATCAGATATTTGTTTAGATCTATATGTAAGGTAATTAATACAGATTTATTAATACAAAATTTTCATATTTTATGATCTTTTATTTAAATGAATTGAATGTAGCATTAAAATATTTATGATAATTTATAAACACGTGCCCATCTAACTTAACCTATAATTATCTGTCACAGTTGTTTCATAATCAAAACATATAAGGACAAATACACATTTAAAAGCCAAAATGTTGCGACGACAAGCAAGACTTCGTAGGGAATACCTATACCGAAAATCAGTTCAGGATAAACTAAAAAATATTCAAGAAAAGAAAGAGAAACTGAAACGCAGTTTAGAAGAGAATGTACCAATACATCCCGATTTAAGGAAAGATGCTTTGAATATTCAACAGAAACTGGATTGGGAAGATGCAGGACCAGAAATGGCTATGGCCATGGGAACAGAAATGGGTGGAACATTAGGTTCTCATGAAGATGATGAGTATCGATGGGCTGGTGTTGAGGATCCAAAAATTGTGATCACAACCTCCCGTGATCCAAGCTCGCGATTAAAAATGTTTGCTAAAGAATTACGTTTAATATTCCCTAATTCTCAAAGAATGAATAGAGGAAATTATGAAATGAAGCAGCTTGTACATGCCTGTCGTGCAAATGATGTTACTGACTTTATAATTGTACATGAACACAGAGGTGTACCTGACTCTCTGATCATTTGTCATTTGCCATATGGTCCAACAGCTTATTTCACAATGTCAGATGTTGTTATGAGACATGATATACCTAATATTGGTACAATGTCAGAACAATATCCTCATCTTATCTTCCATAATTTTAAAACAAAATTAGGTACACGTGTCATGAGTATTTTGAAGTATCTATTCCCAGTACCAAAAGAAGACAGCAAAAGGATAATCACCTTCGCCAATCACGACGATTATATATCTTTCCGGCATCATACTTACAAAAAAATTCATGGAAAAGACATTGAAATGACAGAAGTTGGACCTAGATTCCAATTGAAATTGTATGAAATCAAATTGGGTACTTTAGATGCAGAATCAGCTGCTGATGTAGAATGGGCTTTGAGACCTTACATGAATACCACTCACAAAAGAAGATTTTTATCCGATGAGGATGGATGGCAACAAGAGGATAATATTTAATTTCTTTTTTATTATTTAGCTAATTAATTTCAATAAACTCTGTAACATTAACAATAATATGTTTTTACACGTGTTATACTTCTTTTAATTTTCTATTCTTAATTTATAAACTTACAATTACTTATTTATTTAACTCGAATGAATGCAAGTCCTGAATGCATTTTAAAGTGACCGCGTATTGCATCGTGAATGCGTCATTCGATACTGCGCAATGCATTCTGGTTGCCTTTGTGGCAGTTGTTTTTAAAAACCTCTTGGAAATAAATAGAGTTTGGTCAGTGAAGGGAAATTTCAGGTGGAAGAAACGGGGAAAGTTTGACAGATGTATTTTCTTTGGAAGAGCGAAAACTTGACAGTGCATGATGCACACCAATATTCGTAAGCCCGCGAAATCTGAGAAGACGCCGCGGCGCAAGAAGCTCACAGAGCAACAAAGCGACGCTATGGATATGTTCGTGACACCAAAACGTCAGAAAAATGACGGTGAGATCAGCTTTTCATTTCATAAGAGAACAGAAATGGTAGATAAATTGTTTGTTTGCTCGTATCGCTTGCAGTATTTAGCATGATTTGCGCGCATCTGTAACGAATTTATCAATTTTCTTGCAATATTTAATCGGAGCTGTGTTTCAGTTACTAGCGCTTTCCATTCGTAGCGGAGAATCGTCGAACTAACGATGTACATAACCCAAACGTGGTTAGAAATTGTTGATACATGCGAAATTTAATGAAATACACAAACCCTGACAACGAAACAACGATGCATTCAAATATATTATTATTAAGATAAATCGCGATCTTTATTGTTTGTCCCATAGAACGCTATGTTTTTCATACACCAAACATACAGAGACCTCTTTGTTAATATATATTTATATGTAGCAATTTTATTACACATAATACGCGTCCACGAGATTTAATAATTGTTTGTCCCAAACTTGTCAGAAAGAATGTAAGGAAACAGGTACACTGTAAACTATGTTTGGACACCCACGCATCCTTGTTGTTGAGTATGTTTGTGTGGACCTAATGAACTTTGAATCCCAAAATTTGTAAGAGTGTTAGTTAGGAGTTACAAAGTAGTTTGATCCGTTTCCCTTTCTTGGCAAGGTGCAGTCCGCTTTATCTTTCAGATCTAGAGGTCACGGGTATCTCCCGCAGTGGCCGTGTGAGAAAGAAATCTTCCAAGCTCGTTGACTTTGAGTCACCTGATGACTTTGCGGATAACAAGTACAAACGTCAAAAAGCTCAACAATTACAAAGTCAACAATTCTTGGACAGATACGACTCTCAGCATATATCACCGAATCAATCTATTCAACATGGAAGCGGTGGAAGGCAGAGGAGAAATTCTAATTCTAGTACGGGACAGGAAAGAATCAAAACAGAAATACTGTCAGATAACGAAGAGCAGTCTTCAGAATCGGAGTCCGATGACCCATCTGGGCTAAACGAGGATGAAAGATACAGTATAGATTCTGGGAGCGACGATGATGTAGATTCTCTTATGATAGATGATAGAGAAGCAGGTTTTAGAAAACTCGAGCCACCTGGCCAAGAAACGCCTTCCCAAGCGAATAGTTTATACATGCTCGAAAAATGTAAGAAAAAGCTAATTATTAAAGATGGTAAAATAATAGGTAGAATGAAGGCACAACGAAAAGACAAAGGGGTATGTACACATGAAAAAGTTTCTATGGGGATTATTTCACAGTTTGGATGATATTTTCAGAAAACAAGATTCACCGCTTACATGTTATGGGCTAAAGAGATTAGGCAGGAATTACTAGAGCAATGTCCTTATATGGGTATATAAGCTTCACTTTGTTTCACCATAATACAATCGGATTAGCGAACGATGCTAATGTTACACGTGAAACGTTGCTTTTTGTAGATTTTGCAGCTATTTCTAAACGGTTAGGAGAACTCTGGGCCACTGTACCGAATCTGGAAAAGTATAACTGGCGCAGACGTGCAAAACGCTTGGCCGCAAAACCTCATTCTTTACCAGCTAGTAAAGATGAGCCTGTTTGGAAAATGCCGCCGCCCGCTTCGCGAAAAAAGTTCATTAATAAAATTGGTGGGTTTGTTGGTTCTCACGTATACATCATTTCTTCAGTATGTCTCTCAATAGTAATATGGTAGTTCGTTCATCTTGATTTGCTTCTCGTGCACGCGTATTAGTGAAATATTCATCAGATGAGATATTATTTTGTCGCCTTAAAATTACATGGTAGTTATTCTCATTTGTTTTGTACGCATGTGTCTCATTTAGCGGTAAGCAAAATATAAGTTAAACGACGCTGCAACGTTTTATGTTCCTTCTTCTTTGCGTTACAGGTAATGGAAAAGAACAAAAGCCTGCTACCTCTAAAAGAACTATTCAACTAGGTCTACCGTCCGTTGTAGGGAATGTTCCGGTTTCGCCGCCATCGAATCGTACCGGGAAGGATCTGGTTAACGAGCCGATAATAGGGACAGGAATGTACAAAGTTGTTGGAACGCAACCCATCGACGTGGCCGCGCATCTGAAACTTCTCGGTGAGAGTTTAACGATCATTGGCGAACGATTGAAAGAGCACGATGGACAAATAGCAGTTTCCGGAAGTCTATCCGTTTTGCTGGATTCTCTACTTTGCGCCCTGGGTCCTTTAATTTGTCTGACGCAACAGATACCAGAAACTAACGGAGCTAAACACGAAACACTTTCGCAGATGCTCGACAATATCGCTTACCTTATGCCCGGTTTGTAATATATGTATAAATATTAAGAAACTAATTTGTAATAATGTACAATGTAAATATATCTATCGAATAGTCGCACGTTATTAAAAAGGATAAAGAATACAAACTGAGGTATGCCTTTTCTTTGCTAAGGAAAAGAAAATAAGTGTTTTAATCAAATCTTTGTTATATTTTGTCTGCTTGTAAAGGTATAACATTTTATATAAATAATATGTTTGTACAAAAAGTTACAATAAATATTTAAATAGTTCTATAACTAACTGTACAGGGTGAATAATTACACATGATTATTGATCTAAGGAAACAGGAGGACACGTGCAAAATAGATTCATGTCGCCGTATATGTCGTCTATCCTTCCAACACTCGGCCAAATTTTATTACCTCCTTTCACAAATGGCTGAAATAGAAATCGCTGGATGGATTATCAATTATCTATTAAATACGTATGTATGAACACTTACAGCTGGGAATGCCGCTAACTCTCGCGAGTACCCTCGGTCCCAAGTAGTTGATATCACTTGTTCCTGTGTATGCGGTGCCATTTTCAGTGGATTGTTGAGATTATCTAATTTTCCATTTTCTATGTCACTAATTTCTTTTCTTATGACTGCAAAACAAATGTATCGATAACTCTTCAAAAATAAAAAGAAAGATGTATAAAAAGTTAAATAATCTTACAGATGAGAGCATCGCAAAATCTGTCCAGTTCTTTCTTGTCTTCAGACTCAGTTGGCTCTATCATTAACGTCCCTGCCACAGGCCAGCTCATCGTCGGTGCATGAAAGCCATAGTCCATCAACCTCTTAGCAATATCCGCAGCTTCAATATTCGCAGTCTTCTTGAATTCCCTTATGTCCAAAATGAACTCGTGCGCTACTAATCCTGTTTTCCCTTTGTACAGAGTCTTATAATACTTCTCCAAACGTTTACTCATGTAGTTGGCATTTAGAATAGCGACTTGCGTGGCTTTTCTCAGTCCTTTAGGACCCATCATCTTGATGTACGCCCAGGAAATTGGCAGGATAGCTGAGGATCCAAAAGGAGCAGCTGATACCGCACCAGACTGCTTTATACCATTGTTACCATTTCCCAGACAATCAATCACAGGGTGAGATGGCAGGAAAGGTGTAAGATGTCGTTTACTATCAAAATACCACCTTATTATATTCATTGTTACAACACAGTGAACGTTATATTAATATTACTTACACTCCAATAGGTCCCATTCCTGGTCCCCCACCGCCATGAGGTATGCAGAAGGTTTTATGCAAGTTCAGGTGCGAAACGTCGCTGCCATAATCACCTGGACGGCACAGTCCAACTTGGGCATTCATGTTAGCTCCATCCAAGTACACTTGACCACCAGCCTCATGAACCATCGAGCAAATATCGCTGATCGTCTCTTCGAAAACGCCATTTGTAGATGGGTACGTTATCATCAGACAGGACAATGTTTCTCGGTATTTGTCAATCATTTCTGTTAAATGTACAGTGTCGACGGAACCGTCTTTCTGGACGAAAATAGGCTTCACTTGCATGCCGGCCATCTGAGCGGACGCAGGATTGGTACCGTGGGCGGAGATGGGAATCAAGCACACCTGTCGATGCTTGGTTCCATTGGATTCGTGGTAACATTGTATAGCTCTTAAGCCGGCGTATTCTCCTTGGGCTCCGCTGTTCGGCTGGAAGCTTATATTATCGTAGCCTGTTATAGCGCAGAGATCCTGTTCCAATTCGGTGAACAACTGTTGGTATCCTCTGGCCTGCTCGATCGGAACGAAAGGATGTATTTCTGTGAATCCTCGAAGACTGCAGGGCATCATCTCCGTCGTGGAATTCAGTTTCATAGTGCAGGATCCCTGTTGAAATAATTATACAAGTACAATTACGTTATTAATAGTGTAGACTTCTTTTGAATCTATTTCAATTTACCAGAGGTATCATGCTATGCACGAGAGACACGTCTTTGTTTTCTAAGGACTTCATGTATCGCACGATTCTCGTTTCAGATTGATGGCTGTTGAACACAGGATGTTGTAAATAGGGGCTGGTACGAGCAAAATGCGATTTGCTCAGACTTTTGTTCATACAAGACTCTTCCTGACACACTTCTTCAACAGTCGTGTCTATGGAGAATATCTTGTAGATATCATTTACATTCTGGATGCTGGTAGTTTCATCCAAAGATATTCCAACACCGTCATTATAGTATCTGAAAAGAGATTGACCAATTTATTCATCAGATTACTATGTCGTTTATTATTCATTTACCTAAAGTTCACTTTAAATGCATTTGCATTTTCCTGGATGGTTTTTATAGGTGTTTTAGGTAACACTTTGATGGTGTCAAAGAAGTATTCATTTTCTATTTTGTTCCCAGCGTTCTCCAGTCCCTTTGCAAGGGCCAGAGTCAAAACATGTACCTTGTTGGCAATGTTTCTTATGCCTTCAGGACCATGGTACACTGCGTACATCGCAGACATGTTTGCCAATAGTGCCTGAGCAGTACAGATGTTGCTAGTAGCTTTGTCTCTTCTGATGTGTTGTTCTCGAGTTTGAAGGGCCAAGCGGTAGGCGTCACGACCACTTGCATCTTTTGTAACCCCGATCATTCTACCAGGCATCAAACGCACCAACTTTTGTCTGCACGCGAAGAATCCAGCGTGGGGACCACCGTACCCAAGTGGCACACCAAAACGTTGGCTGGTACCGACACATACGTCCACCCCAAATTCACTTGGAGGCTTGAGTACAGCCAGTGCTAACAAATCAGTGGCTGCACAGACAAGTGTCTAAAAGAAAGAGTACAATAATTATTTTGATTTCAGGGTTCCAACTGTTGAAATACATACACCATCAGCATGTGCTCTCTTCACAATGTCTTCAAAAGTATAAATGGACCCAGTTGTGTCTGGATATTGTAAAAGAATTCCTGCAATGTCCTTTGCGCTGGTATCAACCTGCTGGACGTCCCCAATTTCAAAATTAAGGCCAAGAGAAGTTGCTCGTGTAGCAATAACACTGATGGTTTGAGGATGAACTTTATCAGAAACGAATAATTTCTTTCTCTTGTTGCTCCTGTAGGCAAGGGCTAAAGCCTCAGCTGCTGCTGTGCCTTCATCCAGGAGGGAAGCGTTTGCTACTTCCATTCCAGTTAAGTCACATATCATTGTTTGGTAGTTCAATAAGCCTTCGAGTCTTCCTTGTGATATTTCTGGCTGGTAAGGTGTGTATTGCGTTGTCCTAGAACACAGCTGTACTGATTACCTTAATTATATCAATTTCTTTACAAATTATCTTCCATTGCTTACCATCCAGGATTTTCAAATATGTTCCTCATGATGGTATGAGGGACACAGCAATTATGATAGCCCATGCCGATATACGAACGCCATACGTCATTCTTTTCCGAAATTTTTGTGACCTTTTTCAGTAATTCGTATTCAGCTGGAATATAATTACACCATTTCATGTTCTACTTAGATTTTTCGCTCCAGAAAATCACGTGAATGTCAATCTGAATGCACGAGATTGACCTCTGACCCAAGATACGCTTACATGCTTAATAAGAGGTCATTATCTTATTTATTCTGTACAGTTTTTAATTACACATGCTTCTCATTAAAAATGAAAATAGGTTCCTTTGAAAAGGAACTATTATTTTATTCTTTCTTTCAAAATTTATTTAACGCACAAAATATCTATAACAACATTTGATGTTTATACTTCTAACGTGTTTAGTTCAATATCAAAGGGTTATCGTTTTGCACATGTTACATATCATAAGTCTCGTGACTTCGCACGCTTATGCATGCCGCAATTATCTTTCCAAACGTTTCAACACATTATTCCACATATGATAATCTTATACTCACTAACTGGTTGTTCAATCTTCAATTCTTCTTTGTAGAGGATCTTAGCCGGGATTGCTGTTTTTGTTAATTCTTCCAAGCTCTATAAAAATTAAGATAAAATTGCTACTTTGCTATAGTTGTACGTCTGAAGAATAAAATATGTTACCTCGAATCCAATAGTTTTCAGCATTTGTAATTGCTCGTGCTCGCGGGGTCCGATGTGTCTAACTTGGAACTCATCCTGTTGTGATAAAAATTGTTCAGCTTTTCCATTTCGCAAATTGCTCAATGTTAATCCACGCGTTTGTTGGATCACATTGCTTCTGTTGAACAGTTTTGAACATTTTGTCATTTTCAGAGTGTAGGACATGATGAGTTAGATCTGTTCCAATCAGGTTTTAAAATATAGACATCTGTATTTCTAGTGTTAATTGAATAGGAACAGTGTAACTGATAGATCCCAGAAGACTAAAGAGCTTGTTAAAGTAGACAGAGGTTTTATACCCCTCAGACCTATCATCCTATGATGTCAGAACTCCTGATTACAGTTTGAACTTTTGTAACCTTGAGTTGTTGAGTATCTTAGACAATATTGAGAAATTACCTTTGCATGCGTATGTTTCTAAAAGGTATTTCACCATAATGTGAGTTCAAATAACTTATAAAGTGTTATCAATCTTCTTGTTTTCAAAAACACTGACAATGTTTGTTGTTGACTTGTTATTAATTTAAGGAAATAAAGTACAGCAAGAAAGAACATATATTTTGTATAGAAATTCAATTTTATTTGAAATATACAATCGTTCTTACAGCAAACCGAACACTTACAGAATCTATTTATTTACAAACCATTAAACTTAATAAGCGTTTTATTAAGTAATATTGAAAGAAAGTATTTCATTTCATAAATTTATCTTTGTTCTGAGTAAGAATTTTAGCAGAAGACTTTGCATCCAAAAACAGCGATGCTACTTCTTCGACATCTTCCTTTTTAATTACTGTTCTTTCGTTTACTTTTGCCGTTAGTGCCGCCGGAGTTAACAGTTGCACTACGTATCTAAGAGTTGTTTTTGTCCCTAATTCTCCCAGGTTAGACAAAGCTTCGTCCTCGATTTGCAGTCCTTCCGTCGTAGCTCTTAATTTGACTATTTGTTCTATCTCGGATCGAGAGTATGGAAGTGTTCGTATGATGAGCAATCTATCTAAAAGGTCAAGAGGTATTCCATGCGGCGATACAATGTCTTCTGTTCCCCTAATTACACAACGGCCTCGGTTCGTAGCAAAAATAACTATCGGAGCAATTGCACTTTCCAAAGCACGGTGGAGATAGGTAAATGTTTCAATGTCTAACATGTGTACTTCGTCTATGAATAAAACACCCGGTACTAGTTCTGCGACTCCTTGATCAATGTATTTATTCACCACTTTGTTTATTTCTTTACGCAATTTATCTGAAAATGAAAATAATCAAACTTAATAATTTATTTAAATGTATTTAAATAATTTAGGTTCCCATTGCATTACCTGTGATTTCTGTTTTCTTAGGCTTCATTAATTGGCCCATCATAGACATAACATCTTGACCACCTTGTGGTTTAGCATTGGCAACATCCAGATCATGCAATGTTACATCTTGAATAACTTCCTTTTTCTTGTGCACATCACCTTTAGGTAAAGGAACGTATTCTTCTGCTTCTAAATCAAATTCTGTAGCAAAATTATCGCTTCTACCCTGTCTTTTTACAGCGCCGCTATTTGCTTCTACATAGATTACATCTCCTGTTTCTACTTTTTCTTTTTGCAGAGATTCGTATATAGAGGGATCCAGTTTCAACTGTTTTGTGCCTTTAGCAGTTTTTAATCCAATAACTACATGAGACACCGTTTTCCCATATCCACCCATTGGATTCTCTGTTTCAACTGGTGTTAGTTCAGTAACTTCACCTTCGTATACTTCTTTAGTTTCTTTAATTCTGAGACCAATAGCGCGTCTAAAATTCTCCATAAGAACTTCTGTCTTTTTTATTTCAGAACTGTACACTTCTGAACCAACCATAGGGCAGAATGGTACTTTGTTACCTAATTCTTGAGCAATAGCAAGTGCAATTGCAGTTTTTCCAGTACCTGGTGGGCCAGCTAATAACACCGCTCTGCCAGCCATTTTCTTTGATTTGATCATATCAACTACTACTCCAGCAGCCTGAAAATCATTACTTATTTCATTAAAATAAACGATTTTCCTTAGAATATGTTTTTCACATTACTCCAAAACAAAATTATCATACAGAGAGTTCATTAATGTATACGGCAGTTAACCAGAGTCCATAACTGCGAAAAGACCAGTTTTCATTCTTTTCTGCGCATCTTCGCCCTGATTGGCGATATTCCCCAACAAAGTGGAAAACGATTGGCGGAGAGCTCGCTGCGTTCCCCCACCATCTTTCAACCTGCGCGTTGCAGTTATGGACTTTGGTGAACTGCGGTATAATATAAAATATTCTAACCTCACGAGCCATTTCTTGACCAACGAGGCCTGCTGCGCTTTGTATAGCTATACCATTTTCGTCAAGCCCTAAACCTTTTATATGCGTATGAGCTGAGATTCTTTGAGTTTTTGCAGTACTCTTTACTTCTTCGATCTTCATTCTCTTTAAATATTATTGAATCCCTTTTGAAAAACACGTTCTATGAGCGCCGGTTTGATTGATACAACTTGCACGTTACCATGCTAACACGCGGAGCATTTATGTATGTACAGCATCGTGCAAAGAAGGATTTTGCAGAAAAAAATAGTGGAGGGAGGTCATAGGTATATCGTAAAAATTTTTTACGGTCGATATAAAAATAATTTCTTTCTAATTGTAAGAATTAATAAAAATTTAATGGAATAGATAGTTTATAAAATAGATGTATATGGGGAGGTACATTGGTGGGGGGTATCGCCGCCATTTTGTTTGGGAAGCCTACCATGCTTGGCGTTGTACAATACGAAGTTTCGATTCGATTTACTTCGAGTTGAGTCGATTCGATTCGATTCGATTAAGGCGCATGTTCGAACGAATACAAAAGAAATTAACACGAGTGACATCTCTCGATTATGACAATGTCTCGACGTAGTTACAGCTGTTCGAGCGCGCACAAAAATTACTATCAACGAAGATGTTTGGTCCGGCTTGGAACCTAATTGTATGCGTATGCTTTTTCACGTTATTTTGCGAGCAAACATCTTCGGAATGTACGCAGTTGACACCCTGCTCTTGTATGTTCCCCGACGGGCATGGCTATGATTTGTCGCCACTTCGTAAATTGAGGTCTGTAAATATGACCAACATAACCTCTATGTTTTCTTATCTCTTTATTCGACAACATTTCTTTTCAGCCCGTTGCAGACAATTAATGACAGTTACACCTTTTATTTTCATCCGTGTACAAACAAGCCACTGTCAGTCAATGTTACAAGCGAATGTTTCAAAGGAGATGGTGTTTCTGTAAGAAACAACGCCGCCATAGCAGCCTAAAAATATTTTTTCTCGTTTCACATTTAATCATTTGTAATTTTAGCTGTGTGCTCAACATGGCAACACCACAATTAATCTAGGTAGAGTGGAGGATACGCATATAGAAGCAGCGTCCGACCAGGTAAAGCCCTCTTTGATCATTCATCATGAAAACTACACTTCAAGCGTAACTTTATTTTGTTGTGATTCCTGTACTTCTTCACACATTATTATGGAAACGAAAATTGGAAACTCTGAGTTCGTAAGTGTACTCTTGAATTTTTTGAAAAATTATAAAACCACAAATTTTGTTATACTAATTGTATCAATAATTGTTACAGCGTTTGCTATTGGTATCTCCTTATGCTTGTAAAGTATCCATACGTCCTAAAGGCCTTTCCATTGGTTCAATTTTAGTTCTCAACTTTTTCATAATTACTGGTGTATACTTTATTGGTGGAGCAATGGCATTAAAGTTTCTGAGAGGAGCAACAGGCTGGGAGATGGTACCGAATCATACATTTTGGGGAGAGCTTTCTTCTCTCGTTAAAGTAAGCCTTACAAGGCATTCACAGATTTTTCTCCTTGCATGATTTTTCTAGCACAGTATATAAATGACTTGTTTCTCTTTTCCTAGGATGGCATAGCGTTTACTTTCAGCTGCTGCCGTATAGACAGTTACGATAGAATATGAGTTCATCTTCTCTTGAACGTTTTGTCGTTTGATCGTGTGGTAGATGTAAAGAACTCGGAGCTCTCGCGTTCGTCGTATAATATAACCGGAATGACTCGTTTTGATTTCGCGCGCAAACGGTCTTGTTTCCTAAGTCGATTGTAAGCTTCTCCTGCAAAATACGCAGAATCATTGCGCAAGAACTCTAGACGTTAAAAGAAGCAAAAAGGAGATTAAACAAAGATTAAAGTCTGATAGTAGACCTCGTACCAGGGAACAAGTTTGATAGGAAACAAAACCAGGGAATTTTGTGATTTGATATTTTATTAACGACTGGCGATACAAAAATATAAATACTTAAACATACATATATTTTGTATACTTGTAATTTTCTATACATGTATGTAAAATTTTTAAAGACTTTCAATTACATGGGAGCACGATAGAAGTTTACCTCGTTGTTTTCGAGTCGAATAAAATAAATAAGATAACTGCGATTAACGATCATTATTCTCGCCCGAGATTGAAAATACTGAATGAAAAAAGGAGGAAGCGACATTTGAATATTAAAAGCTTTCGATGCCGTTGACGGGTATAGAAGTGTCCCGGTCGCTTTGCACGATTATCCAGTTGCCGTTGGCGTTCACCGACTGAACGTTCACGCTCTTTGCGGAGAAAGCGGACACGATCTGCGCCAGGTCCTGAACGCGGTTACCTTTGTACAGGCAGACTGAGTCTCCCAAAGCGATTCCATTGGCAAACGATGCGTCGTCCAGCGAGAGAAGCAGCGGTTCCTTGTCGCGTACAGTGCCTGGATGAAAAGAAAAAAGAAGGTGATTAAGGAGGAATAGAAGAAGAGGAAGTAGGTCGAACTTGAGATTTGGACGTCCTTAAGAATTAGGAGTGTACCCGAATAAATTTATCTACTAAACAGACTTTTGGGATTCTGCCCGAATCTGAAAAGAAAATACCGGGTACATCGTCGCTACCTTTGATCCGATGCCCTTCTACTTGGACGAGGACGGCTTTCCCCTCCGCCGACACGTGGCTCCCTTCCACCTCGATGCCCATTTCCCGCGCAAGCGTTGGCGCGTTAATCAAATTCAAACCGTTCTTAGTCTGTCCGGACAGTACACCGAGTAGAACGGCGGTGTGCACGAAAGCCTTCTCCTGCATCCCGCAGCCGATCGTCTGACTGCGAACGGTGACGTTCAGCTTCCCTTTCAACAATCGAGCCGCCAGTTGGCCCAGCTTCTTCGACAGCTCTATCCACGGCTCGTTCTCGTCCGTCATAGCGGTGCTCAGTATCGGCGCGTTCACGATCCCGGTGACGGCGTATTCCGTGGATTTGCCAGCCAGCGCTATGAATTGTTGAGCTATCTCAACGGCGACTCGCTCCTGAGCTTCGGCCGTGCTTGCCCCTGTGGACGGCAACCTGTTAGGATAATTGTAAGCGGAAAAGAGGTGTTACAGGGGCAGCTTTTTTTTTACCGAGATGAGGAGTGGCGACGACATTCGGATGCGCGATCAGCTGTAAGGTGACCGGATTCTTCGGCGGCTCTTCGATGAACACGTCTAAAGCGGCGCCACCGCAATGGCCGGACTTGAGCGCGTCCAACAGCGCCTGTTCGTCCACGATACCACCGCGGGCGACGTTCACCACGCGCACCCCTTTCTTACATTTCGCCAGGGTGGTCGCGTTGATCAGATCTGCAAGAAGAGGATAAGAGTCAAGCGATGGTATAGGAGGAGGAGGCTTAATTAACTTCGTACTTCTCGTTTGAGGAATAAGCGGCGTGTGGACGGTGATATAATCCGCCAGCGGCCATATTTCCTCCAAAGTTAGCTTCTCAACATCCAGTTGGATCGCGTCTTCCCCGGTTAACAGCGGATCGAACGCGAGCACTCGCATTCCGAACGCCTGCATCCTTCTGGCCACCTCGCGGCCGATCCGACCCATTCCGAGAACCGCGAGCGTCTTGCCCGACAACTCGAAGCCCGAGTACAATTTCCTGTCCCATCGTCCTTCCTTCAACGACTGAGCCGCCTGGGCGACGTTGCGGGCCAACGCGGAGATCAACGCGCAAGTTAATTCGCAGGCGCTGATGCTGTTCCCGCCGGGGGTGCTGAAATTTTACGTTCGTTTCTTCCTTTTTACCCATTCGGATGATTTTCCAGTAAACTCTTGGTATATTGCCGTTTATGGATGGAGAAATTCTTGGATTTGGCAATATAAAAAGAGCTCTTTCTATTATGATACAGGGAAACTCCCTCAACCGGCAATATATCAAGAGTATATATAGTAAACTCTCGGTATATTGCCGTTTATGGATGGAGAAATTCTTGGATTTGGCAATATAAAAAGAGCTCTTTCTATTATGATAGAGGGAAACTCCCTCAACCGGCAATATATCAAGAGTCTATATAGTAAACTCTCGGTATATTGCCGGTTATGGATGGAGAAATTCTTGAATTTGGCAATATAGAAAGAGCTCTTTCTACTATGATAGAGGGAAACTCCCCCAACCGGCAATATATCGAGAGTTTATATAAATTGGCAATATAAAATGAGCGTCTGCCTCTATGGAGGAGAGCTTACTCAACCGGCAATATAACGAGTGGCAATATATCGAGAGTTTATTGTATTTTGACTATTTTGCAACAAAGTGCACATACTTCAACACGACGACTCCTTTCCGCGTAGCGGCCTCGAGATCGATGTTATCGACTCCAGTTCCAGCTCTGCCGACGACGCGAAGTTTCGGGCAGCACGCGAACACCTCGCTGTTCACCTTAGTTTCCGATCGAACGATCAGGGCATCGTGGTTCTGCGCCAACAAAGAAAATAGAAATAAACGCAGGTTGTAGACGATGCGTGCCGATGGAAGGGAGAGACCGAGCGATAAGTACAACGACCCGTGCAGCTAACCGGTATCCGCGTTCACCAATGGAACTGGCTGCAACCGGCTAGTCCGCTCGAACGCGAATTGCAATTAGTCGAGACGGCGGAGGCAGGGAAAGAGATACGAGAGATGCGCGACTGGGAGAAAGAGATAGAGGGAAAGTCGAAGGGGATATAGGTTAACGTTGCAGTAGGAAATTACCTATAGAAAATATGAGAAAATCCCATCTGCCCGTAGATGTACATACAGGACCGAATTAAGATTTCTGGGACCTGGGCTCCTTGGTTGAAAAAATTCCAAATTTATTCTAAATGAAATTAAATAAAAAAGGACAATAATAAACAAAATTTAATTCAATATTTTTTAACATAGCACATGGAAGGTTTATAAAGGCTCCCCTGAAAAATGGCTACAATCCTCCTTAATTCGGCACTGTATACTTATTATCTAGACTCATTGTCAGTTTATTTGTTTATTCCTCGTTGTTACCTGAAGTTCCTTAATCAGCTCCTCCTTCGACAGCTTGTGCTTGGTTGTGACCGGAATGCCGTGACGGGCAAGCAGCTCGCCGCAGGACGCGTGCACGGGGTCGCTTATGAGAACGCTTCCGAAGCTGGTCGACATGTTATCCTTGAACAGACGGAAACTTTGAGAAGGTTCGATCCCTCGAACACGATCGGTCTGCGTTACGGAACTGCGCACCGATCGACGCTGTTTTCGAGTCGCGCCCATCGAACGTAAACACGTCTGTATCCGCGATTTAGGCCCGCGAGGAAAGGGAGAGGAGACGAGACGTTTGCTTATGTAAGCGAACGATTTACAAGAAATTAAAAATTCTCTCGAGATCGGAAAGATACCGGCACGTCTGGCGTCGATCGGTCCCCGATTCTGTAAAAAACACCTGTTGATTAGGGCGTACCTCGTGCGGGCGTCGTTCGGCTGCGATTCTGTGGAAACACTGTATCCGCTCTGAACAGCGATCCAACCGTAAACTGTCTGTTGGTCGGTGATTTATCTTCTTATAGCGTTGTCCCCACTCGGCCGACCTGAGTTCACAGCAGTCAACCGACGCTGCTTTTTATTTACTAAACGACGAGACGCGATGTTACGGAGCGGAAATTCGACAAGACGTTTCTTATGTTTCGTGTCCTTCCAACGATCATCTACGTTTCGTTAATTTTTTCGCAATCTTTCCTTATTTTTCTTTATTTGTTTGGAAAGAAATAACCGAGGAAAAATTGATATCTTCTCGTGTTGCTTATTAGACCAAAGAAAAATAAAATTACCAACGCGCGTGCGATACGCGCCGACTGCAGACCGCAAAATATATTTTCCATTCCGGGGTCATCTAGTGTTACGTGATGCAACTTCTGCTGGGGGTCTGATGTAGCAATAATAATAATTATTACGCTGTTATCGCCGGTTCCCGCTTATTCCTCCGCTTTGCTTCTTTTTCCTTGATAAAGCGGGGAGCACGTCGAGGGTCTACGCGGCCCGCCCCGACGCCCCATTTACGTCGTCGAACTTTGGACGAATTTAGAGTATCGATCAAACGGTTCTCCGATGAGTTTCTCAATTTCATTTCCCGTCCACCTGGGTGCTCCGTTACTGATCGTCTTTCGTTTCAGCTGTCGAGGACGTTCGCGAAAACGGTACCCCCAGCGGCGCGAGTTATCTTATCTGAATGGAAAATAACTGCATTGCGAAGCTTTCGATAAATAATCCGAGATTTGTTAGGTATAAATAGGAGAGATTTTGTGGACGATTTTATCATTCGTTCGTTTCGTGTTGCCTCTCGCGGATGGTATAGATATGTGGCTCGATGTTGTCTATTTGGATGAAATAGATTGTTGGAACAAGTTTTCTAATCGGGAAACCTTGTTTATCCCTCGCTCGTTATCGTTGGACACTTGTTTCACTGCACGCATTGTTTCGTCATGCTTTTGTGGCATCGAGGTATGCATATGTTGAGCGGATGATCAGTGGCGTAAGTAGGAGGTTCTTCTGGGATGAGTGAGGTTCGTTGAATTTTGGAATTCTGGGATTTTGGAATTTGGGGATTTTGGTACTTTAGAATTTTGAAATTTGGGATCTTCGAATTTTAGAATTTGGGAATTTAGGAATTTGGGAATTTGGGAATTTGAGAATCTTGAAGTTTGGAAATTTGGGAATTTGGGAATTTGAGAATTTAGGAATTTTTGTATCTTGAAATTTTAGAATTTTGGAACCTTGGAATTTGGGAATTTTAAAATATTAAAATTATGCAATTTGGAATTTTAGAATTTGGGAATTTAGGAATTTGGGAATTTGGGAATTTTAGAATTTTGGAATCTTGAAGTTTGGAAATTTGGTAATTTGGGATCTTGGAATTTGGGAATTTGAGAATTTAGGAATTTTGGTATCTTAAAATTTAAAAATTTTGGAACCTTGGAATTTGGGAATTTTAAAATATTAAAATTATGCAATTTGGAATTTTAGAATTTGGGAAATTTTAGAATTTCAGAATTTTGGAAAGCTGAAGTTTGAAAATTTTTGAATTTTAGAATTTGGGAATTTAGGAATTTTGGTATCCTGGAATTTTAGAATTTTGGAACCTTGAAATTTGGGAATTTAAAGATATTAAAATTATGCAATTTGGGAATTTGGGAATTTTTAGGTTTTGGACTCTTAGAATCAAACAATTTTAAGATGATGGAGGGATCAGCCTACATTTTGAAAGGGGTCCAGACTCACCCTGGCCCCTGCCTACTCATCAGAAGAGCCACGATCTCTTATCACTATGGGAGAGTTCGAGGCACGATAACGATCCTGTGTTAAAAGGCATTCTACAAAAGCGTCGATAACGGGATCGTCGGTCGTTCGAAACAATGCAAATCTGTCTTGTCGAGAAAGGAGCGTCCGCTGGCTGATAAGCGAAGCGGGAATAAGTTGATAGACTGGAATGAACCGGTTGCTCGTTACTGAACTCGCTACCCTTTCGGACCGCGTACAGAGGAAAGAAAAAAATGTTGATAATGCTCACATGATTCTAGAAGAGAAAGGGAAAGAAGAGAGAGCGGAAGAACGACAGAGATATATTGTCGTTCGGATCAAGAGGTGAACGCTGGGGAAATAAGAAATAAAGAAATTTATGTTTCTCAGATGTGTAAACGTGAATGCACATATAAAAAAATTATATACATATAATTATCATCGTCCAAGCGTAACATTCTGACGTAATCTTTGATTTTGCAGACACCAAAGTCACCCCTTTTTTCTCAGAAAATGAAAAACAATCACTTAAAGTCGGCCACCTCTTTACTTTCGATCTTTAGCTATCTCCAGATTGAAAAGTTTTCTCGAGATTGGAAAACAACTTACTTAGATTTTCTAAAGACCATGTACCATTTCGAACAGAAGAGCTATCTGTATTTATTTGTCGAACCAACGATAGACAGAAGCATGTTTTTACAAGAGTGACTTGGTTCGAATCGAACATACTTTTCCGTAAATACTGTACGCGTGTACAGGTGTACAGATTGAGATAACGATTAACGAAATTGGTATCGTGTTGTACACCTTTTGTATCGCAAGAGCCACTCTCTCTCTCCCTTTCGTTCTCCCGAAAGAGCTATATGAAAGCGTCAAAGTTAGTCACGAGAACGATTATTGTTCGCAGTTTGTCGTTCCAATTCTGTCCACGCGAGAATTTCGTTGCAGTAGTTCGAACACGATGAAATGGCAAACGGAAGTATTAGTGCTTTGACTACAACGCTGTAGATATTTAATATTTCCATATTTTTATTAGCTGTTATTCCAGAGACTCTGATTACGAATATTTTCTTCTGGATTCAGAGAATTTTTTATAATAAATTGTGTTAATTAATAGCAGCGTTAATGGGCAAAGGTGGGAAAAGGAGAGAAGAAAATAAGACTTGAATCAATATGGTTTATTATCGAACACGATGTTAAGGTGAACAGCTGACACTGAGTACAGGAGATGTTATCATTTCTTCGAGCAATTGTTCATTGTTCGTGAATGCATAAAAGGGTTTGAATTTCTAATGCTTCGACAACATTGTCGCGTTTTCGATGCAAACAGCTTTTCGATCGATTCTTGAAAGCATTTCCATAGAGGAACGATGCGACGAACTCATCGAGAAAAATACTCGATCCTTCAGCTTTTATTTTCGCAATCGTAGCTTTCATTCGTTTTCATTTAAAAATGTAGCCTTTGGCTATTTGTATAACAATTACACCTCGTACCTGCGTGAAATTCTAGTTTTTATTTTGCCAATTCGATACCGGTTCGGTTGCTTGAAATAATAACCACTCTTGTTTCCTGTTACAATCGCTATTTCAGCGAGGAAATGATACGAAACAAGATTACAAGGCTCTTCGTGCGAGTTTATTTTCACAATGCTCGATCGGTAAAATCGATTGGACGTTAACGCGCGAGTCTTCGAACTGAGAGGAAACAGAGGAGACCGTTTTACGATTACGTGAAGCTTTAGACGGATGGTTTAGTGTTTTAGTTTTTTCTTTTACCAGGGACACAATAGTGCATGCTTTCCACTGGATGGGCGCTTAGGGGAAGATTTCTTTCCCCATATTGCTCAACGGACGTTGCCATCAATTTTTATTAAACTACACTACTCCTTTTCTGTGTTCTATTTTTCTTTTTGACCTTTATATAAAGTTTTTTGTTCATTATTTGGTGTCGGGTCGGGATTTTTTTTGGGATCGGGTTGAGGAATTTTCCGTTTTCGGAATTCTAGTCCGGAATTGCTCCCTTTTCGAGATCGGGTCCGGGTCGAGGAATTTCCCAGTTTTCTCTTTTTGAAATCGGGTCCGGCTCAAGAGAATTTTCCTAATTTTCTCTTTTTGGGATCAAGTCGGATCCAGGAATTTCCCAATTTTTTCTTTTTCGAATCGGGGTGAGAAATTTCTCAATTTCCTTTTTTTGGAATCGGAACGGGTCCAGAACTTCTCCTTTTTGAGATTTCGGATCGGGTAGACTTCCAATTATATTTCAAAATTCGAAATTTAATCCGTCACGATGCATAAAAATGTTTTGGAAACATTTTTTCGATCTCCCACCTTGAGAGCGGCAACCCATCCTTGACCGGTCCGCGGTCAATTTAGCTTGACCTCAGTATCTAAGGGGTAGCGGTAGAACCCACATAGCTAACACCATTGACAAAGAAGTTTCTAAATCACATACTTTTTTCGCAAGTTGTCTGCCTAAAAAAAGTTCGAGAGGTCCGAGAAGCATCTTGTCCAGAACTGGTCCGAATAAGGGAGGCCTGTGCAATATTCGCGTTCATACTATTCTCCTGTCGCGTCGATGTATCTCCTCTGGTGCATCCCATTGCTAAAGCACTACTTCCCGCGCCGCTTCGTTTTCTCCTTTTCCCGTAACAGTTGAAAAGTTCTCTGGTCCCTTTCTGAAAATTCCGGGACAGGAAAGCGTAGAGGAGCGGATTGAGGCAAGAGTTCACATAGGAAATCAAGAAAGTCGACAAAGTTAGGAGAGTGCTAAAGTCCGATGTACGATCGTAGTTCGAGTCCCAATATCCCCAGGCGATTCGTGCTTGTTGCGGCAAATTGCAGACGGCAAACATCATAACCACGGCGATCAACATTCTGAAAAATCGTCTCGTTTCCAATTCGCCAAAGTCGTAAAAGAAACATCGAATACGGGTAGGTACCTGATGACGCCGCGTCTGGCTCGCAGCACGTTTCTGCTGGAAGTCTGGATGCGATGGGATTTACCATTTCTAGCGTTGCTAGCTGCACCGCTTAGAGTGGCGCTACTTTTCCATAAACCTACCGCCAATCTCGAGTACAAATGACACATCAGCGCGAGCGGAACTAGGTAGAGAAAGACGAGGTTTACCGCGTCCAGGACGGCCTTGTTGTGTTTCTTAATGTTGGCCAAGCAGATGATGTCTACGTCGCCCGTGATCAAACGGTTTCTCATGGTCTCGACGTAAAAGAACCTGGGAGAGGCGTAGATCGCCGCGATCATCCAAACTACTCCGATCACCAGTTGCAGACGACGTCTGGTGAGCACGGATCTGCATTTGATCGGGTGAACGATGGCCAAATATCGTTCCACGCAGACTACCACCAGGATCAATATACTGGCCGTGTAAGAAAGTGCGTGGACGAACATGTAAACTTTGCAAAGAAAGTCACCGAGCAGCCAGCTGTTCATCAGGTAGTTGGTCAGGGTTTGGTACACGCAGAATATGCCGACGCAGAAATCGGCCACGGCTAAGTTTGCCAGAAAGAAGTTTGTGATACTTCGTAGTCGTCGAGAGAAGGTAACCACCAGGATCACAAGCAAATTACCTAAAAATAAACAAATCCTTGGTTCCCAACATTTTTTTTATTTTTAATGATAATTTGTCCCTTTTTGAATAACTATTACATAAAAATTATCATTATAAAAAAAAAAAAAAATTGTTGGGAACCAAGGATTTGAACCGAGGACGTTTAGATTGCGAGTCGTGTGTTTAACCACGGAGCGGATCCATGACTCGCAATCTAAAGGTCCTCGGTTCAAATCCTTGGTTCCTAAAAATGTTTTTTTTTTTTTTATGATAATTTTTATGTAATAGTTGTTCAAATAGAGACAAATTACAGGATCGGATGAAGATTCCTGGGTCCGGAGGCTATTAAATTTTTGAGGGCCCCCTTGGTTCAAAAATTTAAATTTATTCTGAATAAAATGAAAGAATTTTATTTAGTATTTTTTGACATGGTAAATAAAAAAGGCTTATAATTAGGCCCCTTACAAAGGGAGCCCCTTAGGTCTTCCCTTGATCCGGCATTGGTTAGCAAAAATAAATATCAACAAATGCAAATACACGAAGGCAAGTGTAGGCAAGAATCGATATTTTTCCACCTTATGGAACGAATGTTGCATAATCACATTATCACGAATCCCATTTAAATTCACTCCCCATCGAATTACATAAACTCCTATATTTTCACTTAATCAATACGAGCAGTCGAACCAATTGTAACGATTACGTATTTATTTATCGAAGCTGCTGCTCGAACAAACATCCGGCTGAGTGAAATAATTTCTATGAAACAGCTTTCCGTCAGGAAAGTGGACGGAATTTTCGAAAGATCCTTTGGAAATCTGTCAGCACGTAATAAAGATTAAGGGGAGCAAAGAAAAGGTCCAGAGTGCCTTCGTTATATTCATTTGCTCGCACAAAGCTTTTCTTCTGTTCAATTCTATGGAAAATGTAAGCGGATGTAAATGAGATTTGTTGCTCCATCAACGAGAGGGAAGTTTACCTGGAGCTCGTGGCATCGTTAATCGAATCACGTTTAGAGCGTTTCCTTCTCTCGTAATCAAATTTTTCGCATTTTTATCTACACCCTCATCCGTCTGATTGGAAACTTCAAAGTTGGCAAAGCGAAACTGTTAATACTTCTTTCCCTCTCGCATTCTTAATAAATCCTACTTCATTCGACGTTCTATTAAATCCGATAACGCGTGCTTTTCCTTTTTCAAGGAACAATATTAACCTCCCAGAATCGATCCGCACTCGAATAGTGGAAGCGAACTTACCGAAGAAGCAGCAGACAAACACGATACTGTAAAGTGTAATAAAAATCACTTTCACGTCGGTTCTGTCGAAGATGTATTCCTCGTTTAGGGACACGTTGGATAGGAGAGTTTCGTTGCCTTCCACCGTTTCGTTGCCGGGGATTTCGTACATGACCGTGTGTCGCGTGCTCTGAAAAGAAATCGTGAGGAGGAAAAGGGAATGAACGATTGCTTCGCGACGTTTGATGGATGGAGGAAATAGAAATCAGAGTTTCTCTAATGTAGAACGCGTGATTTCTGTCGCGTATCATTCCTTCACATTTTCAAGTTAATTTCAAGTTTTCTTTCAATATTGGATGTAAATTATTCGATCGAGTCCCGAAATTACGGGTACCCGAATAAATTTAGGTGCTGGACCTGAAATTTCGAGTTAGCGTTTGACCCGACTCGATCATTACTCGAAGATTACCCGATAATTACCCGAAAATTACCCGAGGCTCGGGTACCCGAATTTTCGAGTAAGGAAAAGGGTTACTGCAAGCATAATACAATCGAAAATTATCACATTGTAATCAATTGATAATTTTTTAATTATCCACTCTAAAGCAGAGTTTGTTGTACCTGGACTGTTGTACCTGAATGTTTTCATGTTACAAATCTGTCGCGTATCGTTTCACGATCAATTAATCCGCTACGTGTTCAGTTTTATCAACGACATAAGTAGTATAATACCGGGGAAAAGTTCTCGCCCGATATCGATAAACCGATTCGAGTAGTTTTTAAACGGTGGATTAAAATGGAAAATTGAAACATTACCGAATTTTGATAAACGTTTATGCGATACGTTGCTGTTTTTCAGTTCGAGTTGAAGGATTTTTTTATCAATCGAATGCATGCGAAAAGACCAACGCGTCGAGTTATTTTATTTTTTGACAGATTCTGTATCGATGTTATCTAAAAAAAATGATAATCTTACCTGATAGTTCATAGACGAGTTACAGTCTGGGTTTCTCTTTTAATCTTTGTACCATATTTTTTATGGTTTCTCGCGATAACAGTCGCTTTTCCCAAAGATGTACAAAGAAGGCTTCCCCCTCCAATGCAGGAAAATGGGAAAATTTGAATTGATATTTATTTAATATTCATATTTCCCAGTTACATACTAAATTTTATAAGAATTATATTATTTTCTTCCTAAATTATTTTTAATATTTAAATAATCAAAATTAAGATTTTCAAAAATCCATCTTCCCTAAGGAAACCTGATTTGTCCCCGAAGTACAATTACTTTTGTAGTATATTTAAGATTCAAAAGCAATCACAAAGAAGTCAAACATCACTTATCATTTTATCAGATTTCTTCGCACCAGATAAATTAAGCCGGTGAACATTCTTCTGATTAATTTTCGTCTATCGCGAATCAATTAGGTCGCCTTTCATTCCCGATGTAATTCTTTCTTTTATGAAAAATTTCTTTCATTACAAACGATTTGAAAAAACAGCATTATGCAAAAACCATTTCAGAATTTCGCAAGCGAAAAAGTGTAAAACGGAAATGGGTAACGTACGGCTGGCCGTTTCGCGCGGTACTGAAAGCTTCGAGCTTTCATTCATATCCGAGGAGGTGACCGAGAATCCTGGATTTCGCGCAGGCGTTCGCCAGCTTGCTCCTCCGCGAAAATCGCAAACCCTTAAAGAGCGAAGGATTTATTACCCGGCACGATTCCATTTCGGTTCCGAGTCCGACATAACCGGAGTAAGTTTCCCGCGGTCGTAAGGAGGAGAATTTTCGAAGCAATTACAGCGCCGAGGTAAGAAGAAACCAGTCGAAGCTCACCGGATTAAACTTCGGGTAGAATTTGTCGAGTTTCGTCGGCGTTCGTTGATTATCATTTCCGAATCGAGTCGAAGAGGGGGATCGCGCGATAAATAGTGGCAGTTGGCAGCAGAGCGATTGCTCAGACGCACGAGGCACCGATGTCCCCTTTCTGCTCCGAATCAAACTCGATCGCGTCTTTGCGCGATGTCCGATTGCCCCGAATAACGAGAAAAAGTGCGGTGAAAACGTAACTGTCGTGCGGTTTATTATTCCGAGGAAGATGTTGCTGGAGGATACCAGAAGAACTTTCGGAGCGAAAAGTGAGTTGGCACGGTCTTCCTCGAGGAATCCATGAAAGTAACTCAGACTAATCGCTGGTGTTTCTCGATTCAAGTGGCTCGTTGCGGCAAAACCGATTGCAACGAGTACACGAAACGGAGGCTTCCAATTTTATCCTGGTTGACCAGCTACAAGCTCGCTTGGTTGCCGCAGGACGCGTTGGCCGGCTTCACGGTCGGCCTCACAGCCATACCTCAGGGCATCGCTTACGGCGTCGTCGCCGGATTAAGTCCAGAGGTACGATACTCGAACGGTCCGATTTCCAAGAATTTTTATTTATCTTTCTTCCTTCAGTATGGGCTGTACTCTTCTTTCATGGCTTCCTTTGTGTATATTGTTTTTGGCTCATGCACCAGCATCACCATCGGGCCCACCGCCATCATGGCGACGATGACGCAGTCATTGGTATTGAAATACGGCTCTGATATAGCGGTGTTGCTTACGTTTTTGAAAGGCTGTATCATCACCTCGTTGGGTCTTCTTCACTTAGGTAAGCGAAGAAGACGAGGCTATTTATTCGCGATAATCACGAGCGCTGATTTCAGGTTTTCTGCTGAATTTCATTTCGTTACCCGTCATCACCGGCTTCACCGTTGCCGCGTCCATCAACATCGCCGCTTCCCAGTTCAAAGCGCTGTTGGGGATTCCAGGTAGAAGCGACGATTTCATGGATTCCTTGATCTCGGTGTTTAGCAAACTGGACGAGATCCGATATCAGGACACCTTATTGGGAATCGCGACGATAGCGATGTTGGTGTTATTCAAGGTACACGGTATAGTTTCGGTGGAAATTGGACTGAAGGTACATTGGATGACAGAATAGACGTATTATTTTTTTGTTTACAAGAATTTACCCGGAAGACGAACTGATAACTGGATGCAAAAAGCCGCGTGGACCGTTACCCTAGCGCGTAACGCTTTAGTGGTCATCGCAGGGACTGTGATGGCATACGTGTTCTTCATCAACAATCAGACACCTTTTGTGTTGACAGGTGAGAATTTTCGGTTCGTCGAAATTTCTCGGGCCTAAATTAACAAAAGGTAAAACAGAGAAAAATGAAAACGATTTTCAGGAACGATGGGTGAGGGCTTGCCACCATTTGGACCACCGCCATTTATTATCGCCGCCAACAATAGGACGTACGATTTGCTTGAAACGGTCGTTGCCATGGGCCCCACGTTGGCTTTCGTTCCAATCGTGTCAGCCATCGAGCACATGGCTATAGCAAAAGCTTTCGGTATGCTGAAAATACTGTTGGGGCTCTCTCCATGGTCCGCCGTCGGAAAGTTGCGAATCGGCGCGAAATTTGCAGGGAAACGTCCCCAAATATAAAATTGTACCTCCGGGTATTTATTAATTTTTTAAATATTAGAAAATCATTCTCAGTATCGTACAGACGCGAATAATCCCCCACGACCCCTCCAAGTTTCGTTTCGATCGTCAACCAGGACTTTTCAAAATTAACCGATTATGGAACAATGTGTGCATTTAGCAAAGGGTAAATCTTTGGACGCGACCCAAGAGATGTTCGCTTTGGGGCTGTGCAACATGTTCGGCTCTTTCGTTCGATCGATGCCGATCACAGGTTCTTTCACTCGAACCGCAGTCAATTATTCGTCCGGGGTTAAAACCACTTTTGGAGGTCTATTTACGGGTAAGTACTGAAACTCCTCGTAGAATTTCTTATAAAATTCTCTTCCTTTTTGTCAGGTTGTCTCGTGTTACTCGCAGCCGGCTTATTGACATCCACCTTTCGTTTCATTCCAAAAGCCACTTTGGCCGGGGTCGTTATATGCGCCATGTATTACATGCTCGACTTCAAGGCGTACCGTGAATTATTCAACGCCAGAAGTAAGAATTTTAGAAACCGAAATTTTGCAAATTTTCTTCTTCTAATTCATTTTCAGAATTGGACTTTGCATTGATGATGGTTACTCTGTTGTTTTCCGTTTTCCTAAAACTAGAATGGGGCATCATTATCGGTATAATTCTGAACCTAATCATACTCTTGTATTTTTCAACGCGATCTACCGTGCAGACTGAAACGCAACAGGTAAACTGAAACGGTAAATAATTTTTTTCAAACAGTTATGATTTCATTTTTTCATGATTTTTGATGAAGTTAGGGGATAAAACTGTGATACGCATTATACCTGAGGAAACTGTTACATTTCCGGCGGCGGAGAACTTCCGAGCCCATATAATGGAACTTTCGGAGGACAAGTTGTGCTCCGACGTTGTGCTCGACTGTCAGAATTTGAAGAGGATCGACGTAACCGTAGCGAACGTAAGGCGAAATAATTTTTCTTCAAAAGGATTTTATCGAGACGATTGGAAACTATTGTTATTTCGCAGAATCTGAAACTGTTGGCCAACGATCTGCGACTTCGCGGGCAAACGATTCGTTGCGTAAATTGTCGCGACAACGTCCAAGCTGTATTGAAGGCTATCGCTCCGGACCTCCAATGCGGATCGTCGAATGACGAAAATCTATATCAATAAGCCATCTCGATAATTTGACCTCGCTTTCAACATGTGTTCATTTCAGACTATCAAAGCCCGTAACACCGTTTATTGTAAAGCAACGATTGCGTAATACCAGCTACCTCCTACTCCTTCCATAACAACGAGTTATTATAGGTATGAATAAATAAATAATTGTAATTTATTTTACAAGCCGCTGTGTTTACAAATTTCCAAATATCGCGCTAATTTCATATTCGATTGGTACGTAAGTAAATAGGATGGTGGGCGTTAAACGCTTGTTGTAACGATTGAATCGATTCGATGTATGCTTTCAAAGTGCTCTTCCATCGTTTCATTGTCCATTGGTATCCAGTAACAGTATTTACAGTATTTTCGTCGATGAAATTTAACGTGTGTCGAGAGGGACAGTAGAGTAGCAATTTGTTCGTGACAGAAATTGCATTCGAACCTCAAGGATCGTTGCTCTGAAAGCTAACAATTAAAGCCTTATATAACCGTGCAACTATGGAGTGGAGAGAAAAAAAATTGTTTTCCTTGAAAATTGATAATACGTAATAACAAATAATATAACTCACGTTAAATGCATCGCCGCTCCCGGCGTGTTTATCTCTTTCTGAAATAACAGCGTATTGAGGCACTTTCGAGTCGGAATTTTCCTTCTTACGGAGTTGCAGCGATAAAACTATCGGCTGTTTTATTTCTTCGAGCTAAAATTTCGTTTTTCATTAGTAATTATTAAAAAAGGTTATAAGAAAAGAAAATTTTATATAAATTAAACATTATTTATAACATAAATTAAACATTATTTGCATTTCCCGAGCTTGATCAGCTAATACGATACAAATAAATACAATAGATTTGATTTAGTTTTGAAAAATATCGTTCCCCGCGCATTCGATCTGCGCATCGCTCGGAAGGTGGTTGCGCGCATGCTCGTTTCCGACAGTCCCCGCGTGGCGTTCGAAGAGTGCGGATCGTTTCGAACTTGCTCGTGAATTTTGACACTTTGTGCCATTTAGTAACTATATTACGTCAAAATAGTGTAAATTTGTTGCTTAACAGATCGTTAAATACGGACATAAGTGAATTTAAGTGTATTTCTACGTAATTATTTAACATTTCTACGATAATCTGTACTCGCGAATACAACGGTGCTTTTCGCGGTATTACGCGACGCCATCTTGCTTTCTAGTGCACCAACGCCATCTTGTTTTTGAACAGACGCTATTTTATTCCAATAGTACTCGTGTTAACGAAATATCGTTTAATAAATCATTTTATTTCTACGTAATTATATAACATTTCTACGATAATCTGTACTCGCGAATACAGCAGTGCTTTTCGCGGTATTACACGACGCCATCTTGCTTTCTAGTGCACCAACGCCATCTTGCTTTTGAACAGACGCTACTTTATTCCAATAGTACTCGTGTTATCGAAATATCGTTTAATAAATCATTTTCGCGGTAATTCGTAATTACAATGGATAATTTCACGCGTGTGCATCGAAATGGAAGACAGTTGAAGAGGAATCATGATCCAACCTACCTTCCTGGTGCTTTGAATCGGAGGACGGATGTCGTACACGAAATCCTTCTTCGTCATCTTCTCACTGATGTTTCGATTGCATCGCAGGTTATACTTGACAGCATCCCCCGACGATGAATCCGTCAGCGAATTTCTCCAGTCTTGGTGAGTGTTCATATTCTTTCCATATGCACCCATTTCATTTTTCACCAGTCATATTTTTTGGTATTCAATTGTCTAACCGTATCCACGGTTACGTGTACATAAGGAAATTTGTAGGTTTTCATGAGAAACAATTTTTATTACGAAACGTATGTATTTATTTGTCATAATGATAAATTACAGATAACTCTTAAGTCAATAATATTGTTTTTCTTTCATAAATTCATGTTAATATAAGATTTTTCCTAGTAAAAACTTTTCTTTCATTTATATCTTCTTTTTTTTTTCTTTACTCGAAAATCGTTCAAGTGCGAGTTTTAATTATTCGATGTCGATAAAAACCGGCATTTATGAAGTTCATGAAAATTGCGCGTAACAGAGAACTTAAATACATTGTGGTTATGAACCGATGCCTCGTGACAACCTGCAAGTTTTCTTTTTAAAAACGATTTTAAAATTAGATGCAAATAAGCAGGGAAATATCGGTGCGAATATACCCTACTTGTTAACGTTTAGCCCCACCGTGTTTATCGAGTAACATACATTTAGCAAATAAATAATTCTTTATACTATGGCGCGCCATTCGTTTCATATGACTAGAGAGAATCGTGGCATTGAAAGGCAGAGATTACCACGTTCAAAGAGATTCTTTCTAACTCAAATAGAGCAAGAATTCGTAGGGTTTTTATTTTCGACCAGCAAACGTCGAAGGAAGAGATAAGAAATAAAACCGCGTTTCCATTATAAATAATAACTTGTTAAAAAGAGCTAATTCCCAGAGGTGTACGAATTCTCGATATTTCAAGTTCGGGTTGGTTCGGTAAAGTTCGGGCGAGATCGAGCGGGTCGTCGAAAATATCCGACTGCGAGTCACCAGCTTCGTGCGCACTCGAGCTCTCCCGAATTCTCCCGAACCGACTCTTATGAATTCGAGAAGCCGCACACCTTTGGTACAAACTCGTTTACCCCCGTAAAACGTACACAATAATGTTTCCAGTTCCATGTTCTATGCAGTTTAGTTGGCAATCATCCGACGCGTAGAATGTAACGGTGCATAGGCCTCGAGCGTTATTTTTCTAATAGTAGGCGTTCAAAGTCGTCCTTCGACTTTGGAAACGAACCGCGATATTCGGATACTGTATTTACATCGATACAACACAGATATCTTAAACGTTCCAACTGTTCCCACTTGCTAGCACAGAAAATAAATCACGAGGACGTCGCAATCGTACAAGCGAATGATAAAAACATTTTATTTTCTTCAAAGTGACGAGAGATATCACTGCGGGAATATGATTCAAATGTTATCTAAATGTGTGTTGGCGGTGTACGCTGAGTCCCTGTTGCTTCTTATCGAGGAGTCCTGATGTAACAGCAACGGTGCTCTCTCCTGTCTTACTTTAGGAAGCGTGGCGAGCTCCTGGACAGGACTTTGCTGCCATATGCTTCTCGTGGCCATTTCTTGATAGCCCCTTCGTTGAACCTGGGTCAGAAATTTGTAAAATTAGTTTAGCTCGTAGATAAATGAGTTAGGGTTAGAGAGGTCGCTTTGGGACCTACTTGTCTGTGATGAAGTTCGTGCAGGTACAATGTAGACAGAGACATATCGGCAGCAGTCAATTCCACCGGTACAGAGAAATCGGTAGGCATCTCGTGGGTCGAGCCGAACACGGAGGCGCCTAGAGACTGATTCGACATTCCTTGTTGCAATCCGTAAAGGAACCCTTTGTCGTTGTGTATCGGGCCTTCCGCTTTACTTAAGCCGCGTCGAACCGCCGCGTACGACAAAAAGTCCGACCTGAATATCGACGACTCGTGGACGCCGCCGGTAAAAGCAGTCGAGGTAGCAGGTTGATTCGCGAACACGTTGCTGGTGCTCGCACCTCCTAGCACTTGGTTCACCATGGTGCTTCGAATTATATTCGAAACGATATCGTTATACTGAAACGAAAAAGAAAATTGTATCATCAAAGTCGAAAGGAATAATGAAAATTAATTATAAACACTTACACCCGGTCCCAGACCAGACAGGCTGCTCAGACTCGCCAACAGAGGATTGATCTCCCCGTGCACACCGTGCACTTCTTTCTTCGCCCTTTCCCTCAAAGCTGTGACAAAGTTCTCTGCGTGACTCGGTGGCTTCCACTCAGGATTGGTCAAAGTAAAATGTATCAGGGACAGTTCCGTTTTCCCGTTCTCCGCTTGCGTGTACTGATTCGACATAGGGATCTGTAGTTTCTCCGGCTCCATACCGTAACGTTGGTTATCGTAACCCGTCGTGGCAGCACGGTCCTCGATGGGACTCTGAGTGACCGTCTGCCACATCGGGTTCCCGTGCTTCCGCACGTCCATCTGGGCGAAGCTGCATACATCTCCGACCCCCGTCACCTCGATGGTGAAGTTGCGGTAGAAGTCGACTATATCCAAGGCTCGTTGTCTCATGTGGAAGCACAAGATGAACGGAGTGAGCAGGGGGGAGATTAATTCTTCTAAGAGATGAACGGCGCGGTACTGGAACAACTGTGCCACTTGCGCCCTGGTCGTCTGAGTGTGAGCATGCCCTCGCCAACTGTCCGGTCTGTAGTGTGTATGCGCTAGAACAGCGGTTAAGAGAGTCTCCGGGCACCAGACTAAGTTCTCGTCCGGTATGAACGCTCTGGCACCGGCCACCAACGCGCCCAATATGGTTATCGTGGTCAACACGTGCTCCACGGTTAATACGTCTTCGTCGTAGACTGTCAGTATCAATAAAACTGCTAATACGCTTCCAGCGACGAAAGCGACGTTCTTCGCGAGGACGGTCATGATTGGGGATGTAAAAATGCTCATGTATTTCGAAGCCGGATGATAGGCGCGATTCAACCGTGCGTTTAATTCGTGGTCCAGCTCGTTGAAGTGTCGGAGGTAGAGGCGTCCGTAGAGGGACCACATCCTTGTGCCCAAAGTTCCTGGCTCTCGTTTGATAATCTGCTCGAGGAGAGTAGTTTTAGTAGCGATCGGTTAATCGTAATAGGTGCATGCCTCTTACCTCTCCGTAATTAAAAAACGAATAAAGTATCTGCCAGAGTAGGATCAAGGGGCAAAGCATAAAATTCGCGATACCGACCCACAAGATGTGCTTGGACAGTGACCTAGCTAGTTCTTGCCTTTTGTTTAGCTTTTTATAGTCTTCCTTGAGATGCCAATTGTTTTCGAACGGAGACCACGGACCCCCTATGTAAAAAGGGTAGGAAAGATCGGCTATTATCGGTTAATTGTTTTTTCTTATTACTTAATAGTGTCTAAAGGCTTACAAAACAGAAGCAATTCCATGTTGTACTTTAGCCCCCTCGTCATGAATATAACTTCACCGATGATGGGAACTTTGAGCCGTACAGGTAGCAAGGATTTATTGATCATAGCTATCATGTAATTTTTGAACCGTAATATTCTATGGTATATGTCCAATTCCGTGAGCTCCCTTTTGTGAATGCACATCTCTTGCTCTTTTTGCACTTCTCTAACTCGCTTTTGTATCTCGTGCCAAGTAAGATTGTCCAGATCGCTGTCGTCGATTTTCAGCGCGGTGTTAAAGAACAGCTTAATGTCCCAAAACTGCGTGAAATGGTATAAAACTTTGATTGCTCGCAAAATCCAAAAAAATCCGGCTACTAAAATACAGATCCAAGTGACCAGACCCACAGATGCCGTACATTCGCCCGTGGACAGAATCGCGTCGCTGATGGACGTTTTGTGCGAGGTGCTGTTTGTTACTTTGTTTCTGAAAAAAAAAATAATAGACTCGTAACAATTGGCTCCTGATTATATCAAAGTCATACCCTGAATGAAATCTTACTTGAACAATACGGAATAGTCGATGCAGTGAAAGAGAAATGTTGAAAAAGCAACTACAAAAATAAATTGTCCTAGTTCAAACGCTTCTTGCAGCATCATACAAGCGAATCCATGTTTCTGGTGGTAGTGATACATTCTTGTGAAAAACGAATCCAAATCTTCGACATGATTCCATCTAGCTTTGTTACCCTCTGGCACCACGTGAATCATAACACCAGATTCCTGTGGTGTCTCTTCGTGTTCGTCGTCGTCTTCTCCATCCTCTTCCTCCTCTCCTTCGTATGGCTCCATACGTTGGTAGCTGCCATCTAGTACGGTTGTCATCTGGGCAAACATAGTTTCGCTTAAGGTCTTTTCTCAGAAAGCAAATCAATTAGCTAAGTGTTTTGAAATAAATTCAGTAATTCCTGAAAGGTTCAACCTTGAAAAGGAAGACAGTTTTAAGTAGAAACAGAAAGTAGGTAGAAATTGTGCGAAGAGACATACTTGAGAAGCAACTGAACGGTAAAGGAGGGATCATGCGATGAAAAATTGAGTGGTAATAGGCCTAGAAGACACAGAGTCTTACCGTTTTGGCTCGTCTGTTTGACTCTACGCAGGTAATAACAGTTTCTCGTTTCATTCTTTCATGTCATTAAGATTAATTAACTACCAGTCGATGGTTGCTCCACAAGCATCTAGAACGTAAGCCAGCCACCAAATGAACGCGTGAACCCGACACAAAACACAGTTGATCGTTTCAGTCCATTAGTTGCTAGATTTTGTAAGACTTAGAAAAAAATGAAACTTTTGCAACCTTTTTCTTTGTCTACCTTTGTCTGGCCGTCGATAATGACTGTTCAAAGATGTTCTTTATCTAAAGATATTCTCTTATATCAGGATGTTTCCCAATCGAGCGGAAGGATGGATCATTCTGCTGCTTTTCGTTTTATGTTAATAGAAAAACACCGTTTTCCAGAGTACACGTGTACTCTTTCGATCACGATCGTTTTTTTTTTTGTATTCTTTTTCGTGAAACGTCTCACGGAACAGTTATTGTGCGAGGAAGATCACTAAAATATTGTACGTAACTTTGAAGAATGTTCGTATTGCTAAAACAATTCGGTCGATAATATTGGGAAATATGAAACACGACGTACGAATAATATTCAGCTGGACGGATGACGCGATAGTGCAAATTCGTCGAACACGCAATTGCAAATTGACTCACTGTTCGATAAGAGTGTGTGCATTTTATATTCGTTAATTTTTTCGAATTTTTATTTTTCCTTCGCTAGCTTAAAGGTGAAGAAGTCTATCATAAGTTCGCTGGGTTCGATCAACGATACGTCCAGCTTTCGACGTGTATCGTTCGTGCGTCGAGCGTCGCTTTGTCTTTGCTTTCGGCTGACCTTTATTCGACGAAAATAGAAGCGTCGTAGACGCAGCAGCGAAAGCGATAGGAGTGTTTGGTAACACAGCTGATCTCCATAAACAAAGCATCCTGCCGTACCTTCGTTTTCCACCACGTTCGTCCCGTTCTCCAAATTGACACGTGTTTATCGATATCAGCTGCAAATTCATGAATCCTCACTCACATATTGACTAGGACACGGACCGTTATTTACTACTAATTTAGACATTGAATAGTTAAAAGCGTTCGACCTGTTCCCTGTCTTCAACCATCTTTGCTGAATGTTCTTTTTATTTGTGGTTCAGCTTAATTTTGCTTATCACGATCCGTGCGTCATTTTCGGGAATCATTATGGTTTCAAACGGTCGGTAACAATATTTTCTTCTTTATCGATTCGATATTCTCGATACTCGATACGTTCGATAGATTTGAATTTGAATTTACTTTTAAAAAGCGCGCCTTTTTCGGGGATCTCTTCTTGGTCCGCCATTATTGAAAAATTAAATAGACCATACAATTAAGCTTACGTACTTTTAATTGCGATATCATATTTACAACGTATAGTGGAACATCGTAATTACAAAAATATTATATTTATATATATATTACGATACGACTCGTGCCGTATTTCGTTCTAAAAGCATAGACGCGTGTCGTCGAGATCGCTTTTCCGTACACGTCGCCGAAACGTTTCTTTTCTCCAGATTTTATTAAATAAATCCTTGGCGAATCCTATTGTCGTTCTCAATGCTGATACCGCGGTCGCATACGGTTGAAAAGATGCGAGAGTTAATTTCACTATGTACATCCACTTGGTTAGGCGAGGTTCGCACGTTTCCCTGCGATATGATTTTTCAAATGTTACAACGCATTTGCTCGTCTTTTATCGTCTCGATTGTTCGCTCTCGTCGCGCCCGAACGATATCCTTTTGGTAAACGAATCTCTCAAAGAATATAGCCTGTAATTCGTAGTCGATCGTGTATCAAAGTAGTTTGGTCAATTTCGAGAAACTAGATTATAACTAATAGTCCGAGCATTAAAGTGGTAGTGTTCGAGCATGAACATTCAGGAACAAAGAACGACTCGTTTCGCTACTTTCGAGCTCGATCTCGTCGAATTTTCAAACTATGACTATGAGAAAAAGGTATCGAATAAGGGTGTGCGGGTACCCGAGGATTCGGGTCGGATACTCGTGTTTTCAGGACTCGAATTGAGTTTTAAATCTCGACAATTTTTTGGGGTATCTCTCGACCCGATTCTATCATTACCCGTTCTACCCGACCCGAGACACGGGTACCCGTGATTTTTACACTCAAATTGGGATTCGAGTTTTAACCATTTTCCGGTGTATCGCCCGACCCTACCCGATCATTACCCGTTCTACCCGACCCGAGACTCGGGTACCCGTGATTTTTACACTCAAATTGGGATTCGAGTTTTAACCATTTTCCGGTGTATCGCCCGACCCTACCCGATCATTACCCGTTGTACCCGACCCGAGACTCGGGTACCCGAAAATTCATGTCGGGTACCCGTGATTTCAGGACCCGAATTGCGTTTCGAATCTCGACAATTTATCGGTGTAATCGTTACCCGTCCCTACCCGACCCGAGACTCGGGTACCCGCACACCCCTATCATCGAACGATTTCGATCACACTTGTTCGATGTTGTTCGACCGCTTTGATCGTTTTGGTTCTCGTTAGGACAAGGAATCGAAGCGGCTCGACGGATAAAGGGAGGTATGTAAGTACTACTTGGTTATCCTCGAGCACCGAGTTCGCGTTTGCGTTCGCCTTCGCGACGAGTCTCGCTGTTTATTCCCGAGAAATGATTTGTCCAGGACGTCGCGGCGTTATCCTGCGCCTGGGTGCTAAAAGTCCCCCGAGACCTCTGGTCTCCTCGTGTTTCGTGCTCGCGGCGGTGCTGGTCTCGCCGGATGTCGGCTCGGTCGGTTCCGTTTCGCCGGAAACGTCCACCTCCTCGGACACCGCCTCCTCTTGGCTGCTGGTCTGAGCGACGGGCGGTTCGGTCACTTTGCGACGGGGCAACAACGGCGATCTTCTGGACACCGCGGGTACCGGGGACCTGGTCGTTGTTTTCGGATGCACCTGTAGTCGGTTCCGATTGCGCAACTTGTTCAACGGATTGACGGTGGTCGAACGGGCCGGCGTCGGGCTAGTCTCGGCCGGTGCCTGGACGTGAAAAATTCAGATTTATTTAACGAGATGATTACGGATCTCGCGTGTTCGTGAGCGGCGCAAAGACGAAAAGCGGTCGAGAGTCGAGGCATGCCTGACCGAGCGTCGTTCGTGACATTTTGTGAAAGGCCATTTAGTGAAAGCGAATCCGAACCGTGCAGGCAACTATGACGAACGATCTGTCGCGCACGTATACAGCCATAGAATCGTTTTCTTGAAAAAAAAAAAAGTCATCTATTCTCTTACCTCGTGAGTTTCTTCTTCGGTCCCCTCTCCGGCTGGCTCCTCGACCGACGATTCCTCCGGATTCTCCACGGCGGCCGGTGTCGTGCTTGTGGTCGTGGTCGATTGACCCGGTTTCTGTCTCAGATTCACTCGAGCCCCGTGCTTGATCACCGGTCTCGCTCCGGTTGTCGGAAGTCTCGCGCGTACCGTGGACTTGGACGGCGCTGTGACAGCTTCCTGCGCGGTTTCCTTACCCGTTTCTTGACTCTCCTCGCTGGTATTGGGCGCCGTGGTGGTCGGTCTTCCTCTTCGTCTGTTGATATTCAACTTATTGAACGACGGCCGGGATACCCCGCTGGGCCCCGAGGCTGTCGAACCGGCGCCGTTGGACGGAGCGGAGGTGGTCGTCGACCCTATGGATCTCGTGCCGCCCGAACCGCGGAATCGGTTCCGATTGTTATTCGCCGCGGGTCGTTCCGCGTGAACTGAACTCGTGCTCTCTTTCTGCACCGCGTCCTCTTCGACGGGCTGTTTATGCCCGGGTCGGTTCCTCTTGAATCCACCGTTTCCATTGGATCCGTTGCTACCGAATCGTACTCGGGTCCGCTGCGTCGGTTCCGCTGGGGCCTCGGTGGTCGTCGTGCTCCCGCTTCCGTTCGACTTGAACCTACATCAATCCATCGTAAATTTAAGCAAACTCGAACGCGTATCCTCCCTTAAATCACTTACCGATTTCGCGGAGCCGCGGCTCCTCCGATACCCGGTCTCCGGAACTTCCCTCTTCCGATCGTTGACTGACTGGTGGTGGTAGTTGGCGGTTCCGTCGTTGTAGTCGTAGTTGTAGTAGTGGTCGTAGTACTCGTGGTACTTGCCAGGGTAGTGGTCAGTTCCGGCGTCGACGTCGGAAGCACGGTGGTCGTTAATTCGAGATTAGCGATCGTTGTGGCCGATTGATCGGTGACAGCCGTTAGATCAGTGGTATCGGCTTCCTCGTTCGACAGCGTGGTCCCATCGGAGGAGGAATCCGCGCTAGGCTCGCTACTGGACGCGTCCACCAGATTATTCTGACCTTGTTGCACGAAGGCGTACAAATCCAAAGCGACTTTGTCCATGGAGGAAGAAGGATACTCGGTGGTCGGGGTCTCGGTAGCGATGGAAGCGGGCGTGCTCGGGGAAACCGAGGAAGAATCCGTCTCTTCGTACTCTTCTCCTTTCTCAGAGGACGTTTGCTTCTCCTTCGACGTTTGTTTTTCGGTAATAGGCAAGCTCTCTTCTTCCTTCTCGTCGTTAGCCTCGCTAGATCGCAGAGGTTGGCTCCTGTTCGATTCGTCCAGCTGGAAAGGAACTTGGTAAAAATCCGCGTTTCATAAGGTGAGTAAAAATACTTACCTCGGAGGCGACTGGTCGTCTCCTGACGGTCGTGGGTGCGGGCACATCCTCGACGACCTCTTCTACAGGCGCGGGCTCCTGGACTCTCTGAGGTCTGCGTCCTCTGGTACTCGTCCTTTCCTCGCTCTCCTCGTTCGGTGTGACTCCTAGGAACCTGACCGGCCCTTTAGGTAACACTTGAGGGAATTCCGGGCCCTCTTGATGCGTGCGGAAGCTACTCGAGTCGACCAGGTCCAAGCCCGGTCTCGGGCGATTGCCCCGGCTCCGGGAGGGCTCTGTAGTGGCCGTAGCTGTGTTGTGATTCGACCGCGATCTGTCGTCGTACGGATTCGTCGCTATTACTCGAATAGAAGTGCGCGAGGGGTATAAGGGAGGTGATACCGTAGCTTCGGTTCGGATACGCACCTCGGTGGAAACCTGGTGTTGGTCGGCAATCTTTCCTCGGACACGTCTTCGGTTTCGGCCAATTGTCTCCCTCTGTTTCCGTTTCCGCTACCGTTTCTGTTCGGAATCACTTCGTTGCTCGCCGGCTCCACGGTGCTCGATCTCTCCCCGCTACTGTACTTGTTTCTGTTGCTGGACGAACTGCCGCGCCTAGGCGCGGACGTGCTTCTAGAAGGAACGTCGTAAGAATTGGTGACGGCCGAGTCCGCTGTACCCGCCTTATTTTCATCCTCCTCGTCATAGTAATAATATACGTACTCGTATTCGTAGTCCTTCCCGTTCGGTCCCTTTTTTACCTATTCACGAGAAAATAATCGAGAAATCTCAAGTCATTTTGTTGCTTGAATACTTTTGTTGCCCACTGTATGTATCGCCTACCTGGATACGGGAATTAGTGCCGGCGGGAACTAAACTGACGTCGCTGAAGTCGCCGAAGTTTCTCTCGCGAAAGGACGTCTCTTTGCCGTCGTTGCGGATTATGTTCACCGGGACGAAGTCGAAACCGCTCGTCTCTCGCGGTGTGGTCAGAATCGGCAGCATGGTGGTTGGATACTCGTTGCTTAAATCAGAGAATCTCAGGATAAATTTACTAAAACATTTTAGAATTATTTTGGCAGAATGGGACACGAACAATATGATATCAAAATCCAAGACAATTAATGCCTTTTTGACTAATTATTAATTAAATATTCAGATAATTATATTGAATAAAAATGAATTTATTTGAAAGTATTTGTCTAGAATTTACAATATTTTGCTTGTGCCCCACTCTGCCCATTTATTTTTAAATTATTATTAAAAATTCCTCGATCTTTATAACTAAAAATAAAAAACTTGAAACCAGTCATTTCGACTGGTTCGTTAGTTCCATTGTTAAAAAAGTAAAATTCTCTCACCTGACGCGAACTCCGGGGATCACGGAATCCCTCTGATCGTCCACTCGCGATCTAAACGCGTCCGTTCTTCGAATTCCATCCTCCTGAAGGACACCCGTGTCCCCAAAGTTCTCCAACTCCACGCGTACCTGCCTCTTCGCGGTGTTCCCTTTGTCATCGTCGCCGAAGTCGAACCGTCTGACCGGTTCGAGTAGCTTTTTATCGAAGCTCTCGAACTTCGGCACGACTTTCTTCGAGTTTTTCCCATCCTTGCCGACTACTTTCCTCTCCACATCCACCACGTCGTCGTCCTCTTCGTCCTGATCGAGCGGTCGTGCCACGTCCTCCGGTAATTTGTGCGAGGTCACGAAATCTACGAGCAACCGGTTTCGTTTGCGAAAGCACGAGAAACGATGTTTTGTAAGAAAGACGATGATACTGTACCTGCGACCGATACGGCTCCGCCTCGAGACTCGTCGTCCGCGAGCGTGCACGCGATGACGCAAGTTATCCTAAACGATGGAAACAACAAGACGAACATTTTATTAGGATCATCGAAGAACGGGCTTTCCGCGAACGCGGCGAATCGACGAAATCTCTCGCCGGTCGCCTTGGAAAATGCTCGACGCGGTGAAAGTTTCCGTCCGACCGGTGAGTTGGAAGCTGCAGTCGGCCAAGCTGGCCAGTTCTCCTCGAACCCGCTCGATTCGATCCTTAATACCGGATAAGCTCGGTCCGGGACCCGGGGCGGGAATTTTAAATACCACCACCGCCATCGAGAAATTCCCAGTTTCGTTCTCGAACCGACGAAACATCGAAGGCCGTCCGGTAAGGTACTTCGAAACGCGATCGCGACCTCGTCCTCCTTAAACCGAAGGTTGGTCCGATGAAATTCGTCAAAACGGTTCGATTTAACCAGAGGTGGGGGAGAACTCGAGAGTCGATTTCGTGGCGTGGATCCGCAAGGTCGATCGGTAACGATCGATTACCTTTGCGAAGGAGATCCGCTTGGAAAATTCGAGCGAACGCCAAGGGCTTCTCGTTTCTCGCTAAACTAGTCCCCGCGAAAGATCTATTTTCTATCCCCCGACCGATTCGACGCGTTCCTGTCTAATAGAAAGTATCGGCGAGGGTTTCGCGACATTTGCGAACCGCGATCGAAAGGAACGATACGCGTAGGTCCTGTTCGAGCCGCGTAGGTATCATCATCCTCCCGTGAGGGGAAAATGGCGAATCGGTTAGCAACGGACGAGCAACGGAGAGGATCGCTTTGGTATTTCGAAGGCTGAGCACGGGACGCAAGCACAACGAAGGAATTTATCACGATACCATATGGAGAAAGCTGTTTCGCTCTTGCAAACATGAGTATCTACGTAAGCGTGCGCGTAGGTAGGTGGGTATCTCCGGTGGCACGAGACACGCGTCTTACGTAACCCACAACATTACCGTGAAAGCTTATTGCAAATCGGTAAATATTTTTCGGCATAAACGCGTTAAACGGCAGCTTCGCAAACCCCGCCGGCGCGTAACCGAGAAAACTTTCTATTTAACCAGTTTCGTCGAGTTGCGCAAAGATTCAAAGCGGCCAGGGAAACAGCGTCGCGTCGGCGTGTACCTCGGAGAAGAGGCGGTAATTACGAAAGTCGCGCGAGTACCCAGCGTTTTATATCCGACGACGTGTGAGATTTTCACGATTGGGAGAGAGCGAAGACGCTTCGCGTCCGTCGCGATTCTCGAGGATTCGGCGAATCAACACTTTTGCCGATACCGTAATCCATTCGCGCGATCCTTCTCGTTCAAGGAGAGCCACTTTTCTTTTTTCCTGCACGGCGAACGAAGGAACGGAAACCGTGATGAAAATTGTCTCGCGGTCGCGGTTTCTTAAGCGTCGGGCAAATCGGTATCACTTCTCGAAGAAAAGTTTTGCTACTCACAGGAGCGCGACTTTCAGCCACATTTCGGCGATTCCAGCCGATCCACCGATCGTGTACCCTTCTGTCTCTCTCGGAACAATGTTCCCCGCAACTGGCTGCCCTCGAGACGCGGAAACACGCTCGAGGAATAGTTAATTTCGTCGAAGTTTGACGCTGTGCTGCGAACGATAATAACACGTATCGTCACCGGACACTCGCGATCATCGTGGGCCTTCACCTCGAGACACGGTTGCTCGTCTTCCAGCGGCTACCAACCGTTAATTCTCGCTCGAATTCTCTCGGTAAATCACGACCCGCGTTTCGCGTATGGTACCTTTCCTCCACGTCGCGATCTCCGTTCGACGAGATGAACGTGGTACCGGAGAGAAAGAGAAGCGGAAAAAGGCTGACGGTGTAAAAGTAAGAGTTAGCCGAAGGACGCGGTGGTGAGGGTATGAGAACGGCGGCGAATGCAGGCCTCTACTTATACGCCACCCACCACGGCCACCTGGAGAACACCCCACCAACCCATGAAAACTGGACACCACGTAGTCAAACTCGACTCGATATACGCCGCTACGGCTTCTCGACGCTCCACGGATCACGGACCGTTTGTTCGGTTAACGCCGGAGCCGAGTTCACCTAGTTTAACGGTCCGTTCCACCGCAAAACTTCTACTTCGTTTGATCCAGTTTTAATCATCGAACCGTCCTCTTTTCATTTTATCCGAATCGAACTCCAACGCGTATCGTTCGACGAAATACCGATTTTCAATTGACTCTCGAAGAGATCGTCGGATTCCAGAGAGACCGTGGATTCGCTTTCACGAGTCTCGCGGATGGTACGTAAGAAGACGAGGTGAAAATGTACGACGGTACTCCGGCGAAGCGACAGTGCCGTAACCGGCACTTTTTCTTTCGCGGCCACGATCCACGTCGCTCTCGCTCCGAATCGTGAGAAGATGTATTTTTTCGTAGCGTACCGTAGGTGTCAAGGCCTGGTAAAACCGTGACTTTCGTAATCGTACGCTATAGAAACGATCCTATTCTCGATGAGGCACACCGTCGACGACTCGATGGTAGTTACCGCGTTAAAGGTCTTTACGTCTCGTTGCGCAAGAAGAATGTCGATCCATTAGGACCAGGCGAGACCAGGTTAGCCCGTGACGCGGTAATCCGTGATCCACTGCCAGCTTCGTTTGCCATTTTCCTTCTGGTTCGAAAGGAAAAACCTCGACGTGGCGGCCCGTATCCGCCCGGATTGGCCAATTGACCGTTCGCCCTTCCGGTTGCACCCAGGAATCGTCTAGTCCGGTAGCTGTTCGAGAGACTTTAGCCGAGTCGGTGACGAAATCCTAGGCGTCGATTATCCTCGGGATAATCTGGCGGTTGTATATCTGCTCGGAGCAAGCGTGAAAAGACAAAGCGCGAGGAATACGGGCGCCCGATACACCCACAGAAGCTGTTCCTTCTATGTACACGTGTATACGTAGGTACCTATGGGACTTTCTCTCGACAAGGAGAGCACTCGTGCGCGCCCCTTTGCCGGGCAAGCACGCGAAACGACGGAGAACAATGCGTTTTCCTGCGCGTTTATTATAGCGCAACGGCGACGCGAGATCGGTCCAACTCGACGTACCTCTATGTCTTTTTCTTCCATGATGTTTTCAGACTAGCTGTCGCACGGAAGACCGCGCGTGACCCGTACGATTCCTCTGCCCGCTCTTATACGGACGATGAATTAGCCGTACTCGATTACCATTCAGCCCGGCGTCTACTATATCCGCCGCCCGCTGCACCGCGGACCTTCCGCGCGTACGAATCGAAGGCTAAATACGGTCGGCCATTGACTGTGCGCCCGTGAACGCAGGTGCACCGAGTAACAGAAATTACCCGCGTGCACCGACCTTCTCTGTTGAGAGAGAAGGCTCTTTCGAACGTGCGGTATCCGCGATGCTGCATTCGAAACGCGGTTGCAATTAGTTAGCTTTTCGGTATGGTCATTTTGTCGCCATTCGTAGGCAGATCGCCTTTCAAAGATACTTCTAGATGGAATCTCGACGTCCCGTTTCAGAGCGCGATTTACAACACGCGTGCACGGGATAATACGCGAGAACAGCCTGAAGAACCTTGACTGCACTTTCGCGGAACTCGAGCTGCATTTCAATCGACCTTCGCGATTCGCACGATTTCTCGATACACTTTCGAGGGACGTCCGTCGGAGGAGTTTCTTTGAAGAATCGTACGGGAACATGTTCGAAGGCGATCGAGGCGTTTCCGAGTTTCACGTTCACGCGACACGCAAATTCGTCCTCGAACTTTCGGATCGGAATTCCGAGCAGGAGGAGGCGTTGATTCACCGTTCAAAAACTCCACGCACCTTCTCGATGAGTAAAGTATTTACGCCGCGACGTCGAATTCGAACGTCGAGGTTTGACTTTCTCCGGAGTTGTTCGCATTCTAGGTAGCATAGATATATATGTACGATAAACTAACGTGGCATTTGACGCGTCGCGGCGCGGCGTCGCGTTTTACCCGGCCGGCTTCGTGTCATCGATTCTCGATCGGATTCGATTTGACTCGATGCCAAGTCTTGATCGAGAAATATGGCACAAGGAGAAACACAGACAGGCAATTTTTTCTACTTTGATTAAGGGTTTTTTATTTTAATTAGGGGGAGAGAGAAGGGCCGCTTTTTGGTGTCTATTAGATATGAAGATTTAAGGGAGAAAATTTTATTGAATTCTAAGTCCTTCTATTTGTATGTTCTTCTTTTTAAATTAGGGTTTTTGGTGACCCCTTTCTAGTTTTCCATTAAAAAAAAAGTCATTTTTCTTTTTTTTATTCGAGCGGTAACCCATCTTTCCGAGATCCCCGCTCCACTTCGCTTCACCTTACTGGTTTTTCAAGTACTTTTTTTTTAACATGGTTTATTTAATCAGTGTTTATTAAGGGTTTTTGGTGACCCCTTTCTAGTTTTCCATTTAAAAAAAAGTCATTTTTCTTTTTTTTATTCGAGCGGTAACCCATCTTTCCGAGATCCCCGCTCTATTTCGCTTCACCTTACTGGTTTTTCAAGTACTTTTTTTTTAACATGATTTATTTAATTAGTGTGTAATAAGGGTTTTTGGTGGCCTCTTTCTAGTTTTCCATTTTAAAAAAGTCTCTTTACGTATTTTTCTGTTTTTATCCAAGCGGTAACCCATCTTTACGAGATCCGCGCTCCACTTGGCTTCACCTTCCAGGTACTTTTTTTTTAAAAATTGTTTATTTACATCAGCATTTAAAGCACATAAAATTATAATATAATCTGTAATGAACAACAGACTTAGTTATCTAGTTGAGCAGTAGATCTAATGGCTCATTGCATCGAGCTTCTCTAGATCTTCTGTACAGCGTTTTTTAGTTTTGTAAAGCCTACGTGGCTATGGTCGTTGACGAATGTCTACTTCGTATTCGTTTTCACAAAGTTCACTTTCTCTGGATACGGTAAAACGTGATCGAGATCGTTATTGACGATTCGTGCGGAGCAAATACGGAACGGAGTTCGTTAACGGGTCGGAGCGGAGGCGTTTCCATTGGTCGGTGTGAATGCAGGGTATCCAAGTGAAATCTCAAAGTTGCAAAACATCCTCTCGTAAGGTCGAACACGACCCGTTCAATGTTAAGGACAGCCGAGAACCGGAATCTAAGATACGCGTTAATATCGGCGATGACTTTCGCTCTCGAAAACAATAAAGTCTCTTCGAAAGTTTAGCTCGCGCTCGACGGAACCGCGATCAGACACACCGAATTCCACTTCGCCGTCGAAAGAAGCTTATCGGTTACCGATCGCGTGTCACCCGAAAGAAAATTCGTCGCTCGAAAATAATAGTTTTCGATTTCGTCGAATACGATCGATGACGAAACCTGTCGAGAGGCGCCTCGTGGAATTTCATGGAAAGTACCTCCCATCGTTGTCGATTTCAGCTCCCGTCGTGTCGCGCCGTTCGATCGGTTAACCGGTTCGAATACCTTTGTTCCTTTATCTTCCGACGACTTCGTGCCTCGTTAAATCATCGAGAAATACTGTTTCACGCGGACAGGAAGCGAGGAGGAGGCGGAACCGATTTACTTGCCGTTCCCGATCGCGCATTTACCGCCCATTGTTCCTTCGTTATCGGTGTTCCGTGAAGCGTCCGGGAGAGGCACTCGCGCGTATCGTCCGCGATTTTCTACGATATCGTGGATATTACGCAAATGTAACGTCTCGGGAGGAGGACGGGCAGCTGGTACCGACGCTCTAAGGGAAATATTTAACGGACGGACATTCCGGTTTCGCAAAACCGGACGTCAACTTGACCTACATCGTGCATCGACGATCTCGAGGTTCCATCGCGTTTCGTTACGTTACCATCGGGGATGGAACGACCTTAACATTGATACGAACACCGTGCACACCGACGCGCCGCGCCATGTCGGGGTCTTCGTGGTCGCATCCGCCATGAAAACGATCAATCTCTCCGTTTTTTGTTTCTTTATTCGAGCTATTTTTAAACGACGCGTGGACACGGACGGATACGATATCAGGGAAAGCGAATAAGGATCTGCGCTCCGGAGAGAAAGTCCTTTCCTCTTCCTCCTCATCGGTTGATGCTTCGTTTTATTTTCGACCGATTTTTTTCTTCTATCCTTCGTTATTCGAGACTCACGCCCGTTCTATTCCGATTAATTAAATCCACGGATGCGGATTACGAGCGGTAACTTTTTAAATTAGTTACGCTTCCGCTTTCAGGAAGAATGATTTTCGTTATCTCTTCCGGAGGATGAACTCTGGGGGCCCGGTAACCCTTTGATTAAGAAAGGCGTAAATGTGAAGTTTAGTCTGATTTTTTAAAATAAATATAGGATATTGAAGGATAAGAATAATTTGAGATTTAATTAGGTGTTTAAAAACAATAGAAAAAATCAAATTTTATTTAAAATAAAAATTTATTCTCTATTTTCAAATAATTTGGTTTTAGGAAGATCTATAAATAAATTTTCATACAAGGAAACAATACTTTCATTTATTGCTCAACTTTCGATTAAGTTAGGAAAATTCTTATTAAACGCATCTACTATTCAACTAAATTATTACACACGAAGCGAGCAATGTGAAAAATACAAGATTCTAATTTTAGAACTGACGCTTTCCTTTCGGAGCGCGCAGTCAAAGGGTTAAACGACGTGCGTAATTACAGTTACGTTACACTTTCTGCGGTGTAACGAGAAACGATACCCGCGTTTCCGTAATCGTTTCCTCGTTTCGTAAGAACGTCGCGACGTCGTTCGAAGAGTTCGCCCAAAAAATGAACGAAAATTACCAAAAAAACAGCTGTCGAAACGAACGATTTGAAACTTTCTAAAATTTCAACCACCTCCTCGGCTCGTTTGCGCAATTCTCTTCGAAGAGGAACGTTACTTTCGGGCACCGGAGAAGAGGAGCCCGCGAGGGATAGACGGTTATTATTGCATCTGCCGTTCGCTTGCCTCGGCGACATTATCGAAAGGTCACCGGAGGACTGGTCGGCGGCTCGCTTCGCGACTCGTCGCGGTTTTAAAAGTCACCGCCCCGCGGGTCACGTAGATTCTTCGCGTCTACATCGGCACCGGATAATTGCGGCTCGAGGAATCGCTCGCGGAGAGAATCGTGTCGTAACCTTTACCGCGTAATAACGGTAGCGCGGATAGAAAAGGATCCTAAAACGGAGAACGCGGGGGAGAGAAGCGGGAGATCCACGGAATGTCGTCCGCGTCAAGGATGACCGGTGGTGAACAGAGGACACCCGTAGTTTCCGACTCCTAATCTTTCTCGAGGAATAAAGGGTTCCTTTTAAGGCGCCATCGGGTGGCATCGCGAGATGGAGGATTACCTTCGAAGCCATCTTCTCTTCATTTCAGTACGTTATCAGGCCGATGACGCGACTCGGCTCGGATGGTCTTTGCGAGTGAAATGTTCCTCGCAACCGCTTCAAGGCCGACGAGATACAACCTCTCACTTTCCTACCTCTCGCTGCCTACTTCTTCCACTCAGCCTTTCGCTGAGTCCTCTCTTCTTCCCTCTTTTATCCTTATTTCCCTGCCTAAACCCACGGTGCCGGGGTCGTTGGGGTCGAAAAGGTACGAATACGTCTTCTCCTCCTCGCGAGAATGCAGATGGATATCACGCCCATTCGACATTCCGCAGCCGGACGCTGGAATTTCTCTGCCTCCCACAACCATCCCGTATGCAAATACCTCGGGGGAAAGTGATTTTTCGATCTTTGCATTCGTCAAGGTTACAACCTCCCCCGTGTTCATTTTTTTATTACGAATTTTATTGCATTAATTTACATTTATACAGTAAGTACGTTGAGTATTCGGTGAATGACAGCCTTCTTCTATGTACACTTGTCTTGATCTAATGTTCTAATGCATATCATTTTTGCTCGTACACAGTCCGTTCGGCGGTTACTGTCTTCCCGCCGTCTGGCGTCGCTTTTCGAACGCGGCTCGTCGATTAAAATGTGGAATTTTGCTTCCCTCGTTTATCCTCTACGATAAGGCTTCGGTTTTACTTGGACCTCCTCCCGCTGGGTCTCCTCTACCTCCTCCTGGACGGGTTTGCTGCCTCGGGTCGCCCCGAACCTGCCGCGTCCCGACGACTTCGATTCGCTCGCCCCGTTGTTGCTTTTATTACGACTGGTCGTGGCACCCCTGTGGACGAGGAAAATGGTCAGAAGGAAGTTTTACAGCTTACGAAAAGCAGTATGGTCGGTTATTTACTTGGATTTCGCCGTTGTGGACTCGGTGGCCGATTGAGTGGCCGAGGAGTCTCGATGGCTGCTGCTGGGTCCTACCTGGGCCCTCCTCCGTTTCAGCGCGGCTAATAGGTCCTGGTTCGACCTAAAGCAAACTTCTTAACGTCGTCCTGCGTGAAAGGATAAAGAACATTCCGTTGGATACGTACCTGAAGGGTCTGACACCGCCGCGGACCTTTTTGGAGGACTCCGTAGTGGTGGTCGGTGTTTGTTCTTCCTGTTCTTGGTTCTCCTCGTACTCTTCGTCCGCCTCTTCTTCAGCTTCCACGGCCGGCTCCACCGCCTTCGCGGTCGTCGACTGCGTCTGCGGAAAATTTTTCGGTTCATCTTTTCTTCCATCAGGGATTAGCCGTTTCTCGTACTTACCGCTGCTGCTGCGGATGTTTTCCTCGGGACGTTCACTCGTCCTCGCGAGGACAACAGGCCTCCGAGTCGAGGCGAGTTGGATCTCGATGGTGGCGGGGTGACCGGCGCGGCCGGTTCTTCCTCGTAATCGTATTCCTCCTCCACCGATCGGACCACGGCTACCAGATAGCCGATGGCCACCAATCTGCAAAGAGCGGAGCGTTATTACGCGGCAAACGTAACGGGCTTTCGCGGGCCTGGAAAAAGGGAAGATGACGAACGACGGTGAAAGGTGGCCGTGCATGCTAAGGAAACGCTTTCCCGCCTGGCGGACCGAATAATGGCTCGCGAACAGGAAGTCTCGGACGGTGTCTCTATTCCTCCGTCGAGGGAAGTTGGGATAGGTTCCTTGTATAGAGCGTATGGCGAAATTCAGGTGGAATATTGAAATATTGGCCCCATAGAGCCCGCGGGCCGCGAGTGCAGCGCAGGACACTCGGGGCCGCGCGGCGCTGCAACTTTCGCCAGGATCGAAAATAGAATCCGAGGACGAGAAACGTCCTCCCGGGACCGGGGGGAGGTGGAACGGAGGTGAATCGTTACGAAGAAACCGGCGTGCAGCGAGCTGTGCACGCTTGTCGTTGTAGATCCCCGTGTACACTACCAGATGGATTTTGACCTGTGACATTCACGTACGAAACTCACTTTCTCTGCTTGGCTGGCGCGCGCGTTGCCCGCTGGGATCGGCCGCGGAATACGTGAGACGGCTTACAAATGTCACGAAAACTTAGCCGTGGCGAATTCGAATTCGTATTTCTTCCAAGAGGAATCGAAGGCCGGTGAAACCTCGATCGAACGCGGAAAAATCGTCCCCGGAGAATTTAGAACGGGCCGCGATCCGCTTTCGAATACGCTACTCTACGTCGACGAAGGAAGAATCCTCCGAATAATCGTATTTTACTTCGTCGCTTTCTCGACTCCTTTGTGCTAACTCCTCCTGACGCAATTCCGTACGCTCGACTCGCTTCGACGGCCGCAATCACCGATTGTGTCAGAGATTTCTCGCGGTTACCTTCGATCGAGAATTCCCGTGGAATGAAACAAATTTCGCGGTTTTCGATACGGAATCTCGTTTTCTAATCCGTTTCCTGGTCGACGTGTCCTGCGTTTGCATAACGCGATCGTTTCGCGGCGCGATACTTTTCGCGAGACGCGATCGGTACGGCTCGTTGCGACACGCGGCACCCGGTTCTGACGTACGACCGAACAAATACGCCTTTCGATCGTGCCGGATACTGGTATCGGCCTTGGTTCGCGACGCTAACACAGGGCATTCGGTATTTCCTCTCGCAACGTTCGAAAGTTTCCGGCGCGGACCAGGGAGACGGACCGCTGATCGAATTCAACGGATCGTCGAGGGTTGAAGATACTCACGCGAATAGTGCGAGTTTCATGGCGTGCGTCGGATGACCGTGGACGTCGGACGGGCGTCGGTCTGTTGGTAACGACGGAGGAAATAGGCTGGCCCCTCTTGATTCGTGCAACGTGCGGAATTGTTGAAAGCCGCGTCGCTCGAGTGTTGACACGGTCGCGATGCCGCGAAGAATGAATATCGAAACGGGCGTAGAAGGAGCCGAAAGCACACCACTGCAATCGCGGAGGCTGTGTACTTTGGAGTGCCGAGTCGAGTTTCCCCTTCTCTCTATATATATATATCACTCTCTCGCTCTCACTCGGCGGCCAGCAAACCACCCGTGGCCGAACCCATCCACCTATCCTACACCAGACTTTGATATATCCTTCGCGATACCTGGAAATTGTTAACCACGCGCGATACCCACGCCATTGTTCGTGACACGATCGTCCCTGGTATATCCTCGATAACGAATACCACCTTATCGACGATTCGATTTCTTTCGAAACGCGACCAACCGCGGGAAATCATCGGATTTATTTTCGTGTCCGCGAACGTTCACGCGTGCCCGACTGGAACACCGATCGTCCGACCAAACGAACGCGCGAATCGTGTTTTATACACGTAGTTAGATCGCGCGTAAGCAGTGAAAGTAAACGGCTCGGACCTGTTCGCTGGTTCTGCAGCGAAGAATGTCAGACACCCTGCTGTCTTTTTTCGTTATTCCAGAAATCCTTTGGAAATGTCAATTATCGGCTTAGCTCGTCGATTCCACGACGAACCAAGGAATGTCTGACGATTATCCTTGAAATTCCGCGACGTCGGATGGAAAGAAAAATGATCGAAGGGGAAGACTGGCGACATTTATTCCGCGAATAGAAATTTCTTGGACGATGCGTCCGCGTTCGTATCGCGAGCGAAAGAGAACCGTTTTGTTTACCGATAAAATCAATTCCATGCAGGTCGCCCGTGTTCGAAGCTCCGTCGAGTGGTCGCGCATGGAAAGATATTCAGGATCTTCCGTGTGCAAATGTCAAGAGGTGTTGCGCGGCAATGCGCACGTTTCGCGTGTCGAGTAGCTCGTTCGAGCGCGTTGCCTTGAGCTCTCTCGGTAGTCGCGAAAGAAACCGGTTGATTCTTTGGAAAAGAATCGCGGTATTTAACAAAGGATTCGAACCGCGAGCCCCGCGTTACCCGCGGTTTCTTCGATCGATTGGAAATCCCTTTCTAGAAATCGGTTCCCTGGGTGAATCGCTCGATAAACTCGTGCTGTCACCTCTCGGACGTTCCCGGCAGTCTTCCAAACGATCTTGGCGACTTTCGATTTACCTTCCAATCGAATTCGTGCTCTTTCAATTCTTTCCCGCGTGAACTGTATCGATTTTCGAACTAGATCGAAATGTGCTCGGATTATTTAGCTTTTTAGGAAGGGAAATATGAGTAGGGGTTTGCGGGTACTCGAAAATTCGGGTCGGGTAATGATCGGGTAAGGTCGCGCAGGAACTCGAAAGTTTGTCTAGCATAAAAATTTATTCAGGACCCGAGTTAATATTCGGGTACCCGAATTGAATTTTGGGTTTCCAGTTGATATTCGGGTACCCGAAAATTCGGGTCGGGTAATGATCGAGTAAGGTCGCGCAGAAACCCGAAAGTTTGTCTAGCACATAAATTTATTCGGGTACCCTAATTGAGGTTCGGGTCCCGAGTTAATATTCGGGTACCCGAATTGAATTTTGGGTTTCCAGTTGATATTCGGGTACCCGAAAATTCGGGTCGGGTAATGATCGAGTAAGGTCGGGCAGGAACCCGAAAGTTTGTCTAGCATATAAATTTATTCGGGTACCCTAATTGAGCTTCGGGTCCCGAGTTAATATTCGGGTACCCGAATTGAATTTCGGGTTTCTAGTTGATATTCGGGTACCCGAAAATTCGGGTCGGGTAATGATCGGGTAAGGTCGGGCAGGAACCCGAAAGTTTGTCTAGCACATAAATTTATTCGGGTACCCTAATTGAGGTTCGGGTCCCGAGTTAATATTCGGGTACCCGAATTGAATTTGGGGTTTCTAGTTGATATTCGGGTACCCGAGTTGAATTCCGGTTTCCGAATCGAATTTTAGCTTCCAAATTGATATTCGGGTACCCGAATTGAGTGTCAAGTCCCGATTCGATATTCGGGTACCCGAATAAAATTTCGTCTTCCAAGTTGACATCAAGATCCCAAACTTACGGGTACTCGAATTAATTAATCTCCTGGAAGAATTTTTTAGTCCCACCCGATCCGAGACTCGGGTACCCACCCCTATACAAGATTTTCTCCCCGAAACACCCTTAAAAACGCGTTCTGCAAGACAGAAACATAGCCGAATTGAAATTAGAAGAGCGCGGAATCGAAAATCATTGAAGCAAAGTTCGCGCTCAGCTTCTCCGACCGGTAGCGCCATCCTCCGAGGTAGCCGAGAAGGGAACTAACGGAGTCGAGGAGCTTGTCTGTCACTTGTTGCATCGCCGTCGGCCTGACGTTCGTTCTGTCCGGGCCCGGCGTGCTCGCACCGGTACGCTCCCGTGTTTCTCGCGAAACGTTTTATCTCGCTACCGGATCTCTCCATCACCCCGCGAACTACAACCCGATCGCGATTCTCTACGAGCGTGAAGATTCACAAGGATCCGCGAGTTGACAGTGATCGCGCGTTTTCGTTGCCGCATCCTTGAACGGAGAGATCTATCGGATCCTACGTCTCGCGTGTGGTGCAACTCGCGGTACATCATGGTAAGTAACTTTGTAACTTCCGATCGGTTACATTCCCGTCTAATTTTAAAGCCGATATTAAAATTTCTGTTCAATGGAATTTCACGCGTTTCTCCGTCGACGAAAGATTCCAGGTACAGGTAGAGGGTAAAAGGAGGGCCATAGAATGCGCCTGGGTTTTTCGTATTCACGACCAGGCTGTTTTCTCCTTCCGAGAACGAGAATCACAATGGCCGAGTACAATAGGGCTCGATCGTGCGTGCACGATCACGATCGCGATCCAGGCGAGTTTTATTCCCCCCCAGGCTATCGAGTCGCGTTATCGTTTCTCCTCGGGACCGATCTCTACAGAGTTTCAAACACAGCCAGGAAAAACTCTTGCAATTTTCCCGAAGTTTCCTCCGCTTTATCGCGTCGCGTCGGTCAGTTCCTTTGTTTCCTGGTCCACCAGCTCTCCGGTTGCTGCGACCACGATGGACGCCGTACGCTGTTCCTTTCTCTCTTCCTCTCATCCTTTCTCTTCACATCTCTCTCTCTCTCTCTTCAATTCCTTATGCCGCAGCCTCGGCTCGTTCTCTCGGTCGTAAGAGCGTTCTCTCGAAACCAGTTTCCAGCTGTCAGCGTCTAGTTTCTCGCGTACGCCTTACCTCGGCCGCGATATGTGCAAGAATTTTTCAGCGACCTCCCGTAACCCCGGCCCGTCGCGTTGGTCGCTTTCGATTTACCCGGTCGCACCGGCGAGATAAGCCAGGGGAAAAAGGGAATCCGGGCCGATAAGAAGCGCGACGAACGCGGCCGGAAAGCAGCGCTCGGCTCGACCGAAATAATTTTCTCCCCTAACGAAAGCCGAAGGGCGTGCGTCTGGACCAAAATAGGCGGATGCAGAGGCAAGACACGGGCCGGTGCTTTGCCTTGTCGAATTCATTCATCAGAAGCGAGAGGGAGAGACGGTGGTACACAGGATGAGGGCTGGGAATGGAAGTAGGGTACGGAGGGAAGGGAAAAGGTTGATTCAAACGTCCAGGCTTAAACTCCATCGTTGCTTCGTGTGTACAGCCAGGTTCTCGACCGTCCTGTTTACATGCCGTGTAAGCATCCCCCAGGGATGCTTCCTCGAGTTCCTGGAAAGCGACCGACTGAAAAGTGGACGAATTTTTCGGGAGAGAGCGTGGGAAGCGACAGATGGTGCACGGAGGATCAGGTCAAATCTCGGGGGACGGGAAATAGCCGCGATATTCTTTCGCAGGTATCGAGCCGAAGACATTTTCGATCTTGTATACCTGCTCGTCTTAGTACCTTCCTGAATTTATGATCCTTTTAGCGGTCTCGAAGTCTGGATGGGAAATAGAGACTCTCTAGTTTCGACGTGCATTAAGGGCGTCGAGGAATAATCGATGCGTTCAGAAGGGAGGGAGATAAAGTGTGAAATCGTTATTCATTGATAATAACAGTATGATGGAATCATCATGCGTATCGAATTGGAAAAATAATTTTTGCAGGAATGTGTAAATTTTAGAAAATGAAAGTAATATGTTGTATAGAAATTAATTAGAATTGCGACTCTCTCTATGATTCACCGTTTTGGTGAAAGTTGCGAAACCCATTATATTTTTAACCCTTTTAGAATGATATGGAAAATGGTGCACGCGTTTCTTCTTCGCGAGTAATCGTGTCGAGGTCGGGGGTGAGTAGTCTCATTTTCCCCGCGTGTCCGCGAAAGGAGAGAGGCAAGGGCTCGCGTATCGGTCGTTATCCTTTTGGTATTACTCGACGACCGATTCCCCGACCGTTCGAGTCATTTGAGAGCCACTGTGCCGCGGTTCTGCTGATACGGCGATGCGTCATAAGTAAATACTCGCGTACCTGTAACTCGTTATCGGCGTTAACGCGGCCACCGCTTCACGTTGGCTGGCACCCAGAGGTCGGTTCGCCAGCGAGCGAATCGAAGCGTTCCCGACGACGTCGCGCGAGTTGAGTCGAGCCCGAGTCTCGTCGCGTTCGCGATTACCTCGAATCCATTCTCTCTGTTCGTTATTCCACAGCCGTGTCTTGCTCTTTCTCGCCTTCTATCCCCCACCTTCTGTTTCACTCGCTCTACGTGCATTACGCGAACGGACTCGCAGTCAGTCGGCACAGAGTCATCGTTGACGCCACCGAGACCCTCCTTATCCCTTTCTTTCATTCTTTTCCTCCATTTCAATCTCCCTCTTCGCTCCTCTCCGTTAATTCATCCCGCGATGTTCCTTGATTTTCGCGGTCCTCTTAATATTCCTTCCCCGTTTCACCGCCGGCAATCAGCCCAGAGCCCTTTCGTTCGCGTTCCTGGTGAAACATCATCGAGAACGTACGTTGCAACGGGAGTGGTCAGTGTTCAGTGGTTGTGATACTTCTTCGATGCCACGAGAAGGATAGAGCGGCTTCGACCTTGCTCACCCGTTTGGTAATTAACCTTTGACAGATGTACGCGCGATTTTTTCCATCTCCTCACCGTGCCAGAAGACGAGGAGATCAACTGATAGCGAGTTGCGCGATAACGTCGCTTCGCTAGTCTATCGTTTTTAACTATGTATTTTTTCCTCCTCGACGCGATGCACGCTTGAGAGTGCTCGATCTTTATCGCCAGCACTCCCCTCGTACCAGTAAACCGATAATTGAACGAGTTATGAAGGCGCACGCGAACGTACCGGTTAATCCTCTAACGGCGGACCAGGGAGAGAGACTCAATTCTAACTTAACTTTGCTAACTTAACTATATGTTTAACTTTAAATTAATATTCTTCTGCATCTTTTGTAAGTTTAAAGGTGGCGGACCAGGGAGAGAGACCCAATTCTATATTAATCTCGTATTACATATCATTTTCATTTTCTAAAATGTATAGCGTTTTTCCAAGAATAATTCTTTGAACATATGAAATTCTTTTGTTTAAAAATTTATTTATTTATTTATTCAGTATATACAAAAATTGTGTATTTAACTTAAAATTTCAATGCCCGCAGCAAAACAAAAAGTAGAGCGCACTGTAATCAAAATTTTCTCTTTATTTATATTACAACCATAATCGTTTCGCAAGGTTCGCATCGCGGAATGTCCTCATCGGCGCTTCACGTTTACGTAAGATTTCGAGGCGACGATCATTCGAGCGCAGGACGCGTTGGCGCGTGGCGCACGCCATGGAGTCTCTGCGAACCGACGGTCGGCAGCCGGTAAAGGAGCTCGTCCTCGCGATAGTATCTAACGACGATAATGGGATAACGAGGGTCTCGATAATTAACCGGGAAGCCGGGTACGAGTAACCGAGTCTTGCTCGATCGTTGACTCGACGGCAACCTTCCCCCCCCCCGTTCCTTTCCCGTTGCTTCCTCCTCGGACAGCGGTTACCATTGTCCGCCTTAACCGAGCGAATCGATGACCCGTGGAAGATTATCCTCCGTTCCGTTCGCGGGAAGCTATCCCGTCAGCGTTTCGCTTCCGTTCTTACCTTGGCGCGCTTTTTTTTTTCTTCTTCTTCTTCTGCATCGAATACGCGGTGCGTTACGTCAGCGATACAAAGCCGGTTTGCGTAATCGATGGCGACAGTGCGTATTTTTGTAATTCTCCTGGCTCGTAAGTCAACACCGAGGTGTTCATTTCAACGAGAACGAATATTGCGTTTCCCCGGTTCCCTTCCCTCCCCAAGCGCGCAAATCGAGGGAAAGGTACGGCGGTGTAACGGTACCGGCGAAAAACGCGTTCGAAAAATGACTAAAGCGTACCGTTTTAGCCGCGGCGAGGAATCGGTTACGGTCGTTGATCTTGCCGACTTCGCGCCGCCTTTGTTTCTTCCGGCCCGAAAGGGGCGCCGCGTCCTCCCGACAAAGCTTTCGGAATGTCGGAAGGCTGTCCGCCGAGTCACGTAACGTGGTAGTCGGGATAAACGTGCTCTCGAGCTAGATCGATTTCCCGTAATCAAGGTAACGCGATATCGCAACCGCGACCGATATTATCCTGGCGCCTGTATCGCCGAGTCGTTTCGACAGCCACGCCACGAATTCGTACCTTTCGCCTCGGTCTCGGAAACGTTTCGTTTGCTTTGAGCCGGGCTCGTTAACGCAAACGCGGAAACTTTACAGCTCCCCTCCCTGAGAGTAAACTCAGAATTATCTACTCGCGGCTGTTTGTTTGATTTAACACACGCACACGCGCACGGTTCTAGTATCGTCAGTTACCAGGCACCGGGTTTGTTCGTTTTCAATTTTAGGAGGCAAGATCGGTGAGCTTCGCCTCGCGGGGACAGAATGGAAGGAGAGGATGTAGGCGATGATAAGCTTTCGAAAAAGGAAGAACCGGGGCTTCGTGTTCTCTCGGTCGACAAAGTCACCGTGGAGAAGATCGTGTTCGAATCGTCGAGTGGATCGCGGGAAGTGCTGCTGACGAAGAACGAGACCTCGAGGAAACTGTCGATTAAGTCCGAGCTCTCGCGGTCCGAGGACGAAGGGAGGAAGAACCGCGCATCGCTTCCGGAGGACATACTCGCGGCGAACTCGAAGGGCGCGATCGAGAAGAGGATCAAACCGATCAAACTTACCAAGGGTCCCTCGATAGGCAGCATCGTGGTCGACGTTCCGTCAAAGTTAGAAATTAACGAATCCAATTCAAAGAAAGCTGAAGAGAAAGCAAAGGATGAAGATAATCAGGATGACCGAAGGGAGAACGAGGGAACCGAGGCGAAAGATCGTTTAGAAAAGAGTCGTTCGAACATCAAAGTGCTGCAGGAAAATTTAACAACCAAGATCGACGCCAACACCGTCGAAAGGTACAGGAGGAAGTTGCAGGAGCTGCGCGAGAACTGCGCCCACAAGTTGCTCGATTCGAACGCGAACGAGAAGTTCACGGAGGTCGCGTTCGACGAGGAATTCCTGCAGAAGCACAACCTCGACAGGAGATTGAAGATCGAGGAGGATAGATCACCGGAGGGTGAGCTCGAGCAGGAATCGGACGAGTTGCTGACGAAGGACACCGCGACAGCGAAGCCGAGCTACAGCAAGAAGGTCTCCGAGGTGGAGAAAAGGTGGTCCGGAGAGTTCCTGGAGAACAGACTGACGCGTCGATCCTCGGAATCCTCCAAGTCCTCTTACGTGGAGGAATTCGGCAGCGTATCCTCCGAGGAGAGCGTCGCGGGAGATCGCGACTCGCCGCGATTCGAGCGAGAGAAGAGGAATACGGAGGTGGAAGAGAGCGGACGAGAGTCTTTCGGGAGGCAAACTTCGGAGGAGGTCCTCGCGGACAGTACCGTGAGCACTTTAGATTCCGACTCGTGTCTGGAGGATCGGATCAAGGCGTTGGAGGAGGAGGAAAGTGTAGATCGGAAGGACGAGGTGGAGGATGACGAAGGAGAGGATCTCGACGTGGTGCGTCGTCGACGTCGCTCGAAGCTGTTAGCGTACGAGCGTGCCGATCGTTGGAACGAGTCTCTGAAACGGGCGAAGGTTTCGAGCGGTTGCTCGACGGACTCGATCGACTCGACGCGTTCGAGGAAGGACGGTTACGCGAGTCTCGTGAGGGAATTGGCCATGGAGGCGGCGGCGGGCACTTCTCGAGTGAAGAAGGAAGAGAAGCAAAAGAGGAAGCTGGGGCTTCGCAGATTGCTGCCTGGTTTCTTCTCGCCGAAGGATTCCCGGAAGGATTACAAGAAGAAGAAGGAGTCGAAGGAGAGGAGGAGGCACGAGGACAGACACTTCGCTCGTTACCAGCAGAACGGAAATTACACCAGATCGCCGGACACGATGAATCTGAACGAGGACATCAAGAGGAACGTGAAGCTGGACAACAGTCTGAACGGATCGATCATCGAGGAGAGGCTGGACGAGATAAAACGAGAATTGTTCCCGGATCAGTGCCCGATAACCAGCACTCCGGACCACCTGGCGCGGGACGAGGAGCAGAGTCTGTTGCGCGACCGAAGCGGAGCCGCCAGGGCGTACGGCATCGACTCCAGCCTGAGCTCCATCGCGCCGGACGACAGGTGGAACGAGAGGAGCGGGCATCTTGGGATATCCCCGGACATCCGGAAGTTCGAGCAGAGGCAGAAGCGCGAGGAGTTCGACCAGAGGTACGGGGGGCAGCAATTGGAGCGAAAGCACAGCCTGCAGGAATCGAATCCACCGAACCGTCTGTGTTTCTTTCAAAGAAATCATGGCCCCTCGGGAAGAATCTCGGCGCCGCCCAGCGAGAGGTACCTCGTCCGACCCAGGGCGATCCATCCGATCGACAGACCTCTGCCGGCGATCCCTCGATCCCGAGTCGACTCGTCCAATTATGAAAACTATCCGGAGGAAGATAATCAACCGCGGCCGATCGGTTATGAACGGAGTGGGGCATACACAGCGGACAAGGCGGAATATTCTAACAAATCAACGTTGTATGAGAACGAAGGTTCGCCAGGTGGATTGATTCTGAAATCGGTCTCCGCTCAGGTGAAGATCACGCGGCAGCCGATAGGGAATCAGAACCAGAAGAGAGCGCCCTTGGTCGGTCGATCTCCGAAGTATCTTTCTTCAGGTTCCAGTCAGAAATCCGGGGACTATGGAGATTCCAGTTGCACGCCGAACTCCAGCCAAAAAAGCGAGTTCTCGCCGACCAGTTCGAAGAGCGGGGAGTATTATTTGAATTCTCCGCGGAACAGCGGCTCTCCTAACGACAGGGACTTCGACGAGGAGAACCCGTCCAGCAGGGAAGGCATCTACGAGAACGAGAATGAGAATTCGCCTTCGAGATCGTCCACCCGGTGCGCGGATGAGAGGATCTACGACGAAACGCCGTCCTCGCCGTCTAAACCGCCTATCCGTTCTCCAATGGATGATTCTTTGGATAAGACGGACTCTTCTCCGGGTCGAGGATGTTCCAAGGGCGGACGACCAATGTCGCCCAGGACGAACGCGGACAAACAGAGCATCGATGGAGAAACTGGCAAAACAGGAGCGCGGACCGTGCCTTCCAGGAGGTCCCAGCCTAACGAACAGATCCTGATCGCCTCGCCGAAGAGGGAAATCGCGTACGAGTGTCGGATACCTCGGCCTTTGAACGAGTCCAGACTCTGCGCCGTCGAATCTCCCGTGCGGATGATGAATTCGCCTCACAGACTCACCGGAGTGACCCCGTTGGAGCCGCGTAATCAAGATCCAAGCGGGAACCGGGAGCCTCCAGCCTCGAAGATGATCGACTATCCAGGAGGAGGAGGAGGACTCACGGAGATAGCCCGGCCGGAGCCCGTTTACGGACATCATCGAAATCAACCAGTAGCAGGTCAGAATGGTGGATCGCAAGCGGAGGATGAGCGGAGAAAGGACTGCGACGATAGAGTGGCTTGGGTTCAGGGAAGAGCAACTTCTCCGGCGACGAGCCCTAAACGAAACGAAGCAACATCTGGAGAGAGAAACGAATCCCCGGTTACGGAAAACCATCGACAGGGTCAAAATCAACCGCCCTCTCGTTCGCCTCGGTCCGTGGCCCCTTTGCTCCTGCAAGAAGCGCAACGCCCCCGCATCGCGGGTCGGGAGAAATTGTACGGAACCGCGGGCCCGGGACGCGCAGACCCACCCAGGGTCCTCCAACCACAGGCGCAGCAACGACAACCGCGATCGCCCACACCGCGAAGTCTAACGGAACCTTTGTACCTTCGTCAAATCCCCGAGTCGACTTACGGGCAACGGGAGAACGCGGCCGTCGGGCCGCTGTCGCCGTCGAAGCAGGAGACTCGACAACACCTGGAGGCGTTCTACTGGCAGCAGAAGACGCTGGAGGCGAGCAGGAAGACCGTCGCGCCTCCGAGCGCGAACGCGAACCCGAGACAGATTGGAAGGAAAATTGATTTACCGGAGGTCAGGGAGGCGGTGTATTGGCAGCAGCTCAAGAAGCTGGACGAGGAGCAACAGAGGCGCATCTACGAGCAGAATTTGATGGAGGAGTCTTCCTGTTGCAAGGCGGGACCGAAGATTCCCTCTGCGAGGTCCGTGTCTCAGAGGCAAGTGTCGGTTCCAAGTCCCGCTGGAGCTATGAATCTTTCGTTGACGATCGGATACGGGGAGCCGGGTCCGTGGGCGGGTAATGTCTGTCGTTCGAAAGGGAATCCGAGCGGAAAGCCGCCGTTAATGCAGAGTCAAAAGGGTCCGAATCAACCGGTGTTGATCGTGAGACCGCAACAAGCGATTCGCGAACGTCGAGAAGCAGCGATGCCCTCTAAGCCCGTCGATTCCTCTCGCAGACCGGAAACGCAGAGGTCGAAAAGCGCTTCCCCGCATTTCCACCGCGGCGACGCCCCTCAGATCGTGCCGCGGAAACTGGACGCCCCGTCGATTTACGAGGAGGAAGTAGCAGCGGTGAACGACGTCGAAGGGAAAAGCGCGCCTCCTCCGATATTCAAAAGGGGCAGCCTGATCGGCGGAGAGTCAGCGGAATATGGCACCGGAGGTGGCGCTAAGAGGGTCAGCTTTTCGAATCAGTCGACCACCGTCGGACGAGATTTGCCCAGCGGAAGTTGGCCGACAAAACATGGCACAGCTCCGGAACCACCGACTCGAAGACATCGAAGCGAGGACAGCGTTTCCGACACGGACTCGGTGTTTCTTCACCAAGAACGTCGCGACGCTGCGGCTGGCCCCTGCCCCGACGTGGAATACGACGCTGACAGACCTCTACCTCCTCTGCCCAACGACGTGGCTCCTGCGAATCCGAGCGGAAGTGGCAGTACGCCAAGGAGCAACGCGTACGGGGAAGTTCGATGGAACCCCCCACGACCGGATCCACGACGAGCCATCAGCCCCCACCGGATGCTTCGCCCAAAGGGTGAGTGCTTGCTTTTTTTTCCATACACCTCTTTCTATTTTCCGCGATTTTTTCATTCGCGGCGTTGCCACGATCCGCAACGCTCGGATCGTAATTTCACCCGGACAAGTTGCAAAGGATCCGCTCTACGCGGCGTATGACCGTGCATTTCAACGAGCCTCTTAAGGCACACCGAGAGCGGTATCGCGTACAAGCACGTTCCTGCCCGCGGTACACGAATCTCGCTCTTATATCTAAAGCCTGTACGAACTTCACTTCCTACGTAATGTCGCGAATTCGTGAGAAGTTTGCACGTATTCGGGCTGCAGGCGTATTTGTCAATTTGACGAAATTTATTGGTAAGTCGACTTAAGAATATTGAGTGGAATCGGGTCGAGTCGGGTACGATTTCGGGTACCCGATATTCACGTCAAATATGCATTTTTTGGGTCAGGTTTCGGGTACCCGAAATTTTCAGATCTCTATTAATATCGATACTCGTCGATCGTTCATACGTCTTGGTTCGACGACCCTGCACCTTAACGAGGATTTTTACCGTGAACTTGCCACGACGATGGAAGCAACCTGGTTCGGGGTCAGAGATGGTCTTGGCTGCAGGATACGTGGGCAGTAGCGTTACGTCATTGGACGGGTCGGAGTAGCTGTACGGGCAGTCGCGATTAGTTGCTCTTCTAGTTTCCCCGGAGGAAGGTCGGTAACCTACGACTCGATAAAACGCTATGCGAGTTCACCATCCACCTATCCCAAGAGGAAACCGCTTTTAAATCAGCCACATGCCACTCGCAAATTCTTGATCCAAAACGATCCTATTCAAAAGAACGTATCCGGGCAAACGTTGATCGAATTCTCGTCTAGTCCTTCGATACGATATGTATGCAAATCGGTAGAATCCTCAGAGACAGCGGATACAGATTCGAATATCAAAATATTCGAAGAGCCCCGAGAATTCGCGCCATCCAATTAACCGGTTCATCGACCGTCCGCGAATTAACGCGTCTATTTACCGCGGTAATAAGCAACGAGGTCGCGAGGACATCGCGGAGAAGCGAAACGCGTCAAAGAACCTGCGTACCAGTGTGTCCGTGCGTGGGAGGTCGGGGGAGGTCGCGGGAACGGTCGTATGTTTTCCGTACGGTGAGTAGTAAGTAGCATTCGGGAGGATGCGGAGGCGGGAAGGGCGTTCGGGATCGATCCCCGACTTGGTTCCCGTGACGTCACACGGGAAGGGAAGATAGAAGGAGGGCGCTGGGACGAGGGACGAAGGGACAAGGAGGAAAGTGAGACAAAGCGAGAAAGGTTTCGCGAGCTGAGCCGCGACAGGGTGGTACGGGGGCATGCGGCGCGGCGATGTAGAGGGAGGAAAGAGAGAAAGGTGGGTGCAGTGTGCCGGGACTCGGGCAGGTCCCGGCGACGTTCCGTTCCGTTCCGCGGGTTTTCGATGGTGGTGCCGCTGCTGTTGGTGCTACCGGCGTTCGCGCACCTTGTGAAACGACTCTAACCGCGTACCTGATAGTGGTTGTGGGTGGTAGTGCGGTGGTGGTGCGACGCCGCCGTTATCGGTGGACGTCGCGTCTTATTTTCCGCGCTCGGACTTTTCCCCAACATCGCAGCCTCTTCTTCAGGGCTACGATCGATCGCGACCTTCGAAGACGCGTGTTCGCGAAGAAGGAGCGCGCGGTGACGTTAGTCGCGATCGTCGAAGGGACGAAACGCGAGGTAAGCACATAGGGTGCTGGGGGATCGTGGAGGGTGGCGGTGCTGCCGTCGAGCCGGTCGCCCGTCACACGGCGCGAGGTACGTGCTCGTCTCGCCGGTGCCCGCCGTGTAGTTTCTCCTCCCTCGTCGCCTTCTTTCGGGTCTCTGTTCGAAAAATCGTCCAAAGGTGTCTAGGCCCTATCCTAAACATCCGCGTCTCATCGGCAAGTGTAGTGACCTTATCACGGACCAAGGATTAAAACTTAAACTGTGCCCGTTCGGTGATCGAACTTGAAAAAAAAGCATGCATTTAGAGCGTGAACCGCGCGATACGGGTAGATCCGCCAGGTATGGTTATCGCTCCTCGGCCACGACCTTCACCGTGTAATCGACGTGGAAGGGAAAAGGTTCTCGAACAAAGGGGATGCTGCGAATCGTGCCAGTCCAGCGACTCGCGAAATATTCCTTTCTGAAAAATCTCGCGCGCTTATTAATCCCGTAGGAACGTAAAGAATATCCTGGCGGGAGACAACGGGGTGTCTTGTTCGTTCGGCCCGGGTCGATGGGTCGACGTTCCCAAAGTGCAGCCCTGTGTGGCTTAAAATACGAGCCACGACTATCGATTTCGAAGCAGACCGAATTCGTGATAGCCTCCTCTGCAGTCCGCCTCTCTTTTTTCTCATAATTTACTGGTCCTTTTTTTAATAATTCAACAATACAATTTTTGCTCTATTCTTTAGACGCTGTAAACTTGTCGGTCCACCCTTGCGATTCCTATGGGGTGGTTTGCCTTTTCTTTTTTCGCGATTTGTTTCTGGTTCAAGTATCTTGAAGGGGGGGGAGGAATACAGTGATTAGGATTCGCATTAGGGTTAAATTATCTGCAGAAACTTTGGAGTTTTTATTTTTTTATTAGAGCCTTTATACATTTTCGATCGAAACGGGAAAGGAGGAACGTCCTTCTCAGGGCTGACGCTCGTTTGACCCAGTGATCCGATTCGGTCCATGGCACGCTCGAGTGTATCCACCCTCCATGAGCGGTGAAACGCGTCCCGACCGAAAGATGGCGACTCGACGGGCGCCGGGACGTCCGAACGATATTCCCCTAAACGAATTTTAATTCACCCTACGTTTCGTCCCGTTAGATCTCACCTCGCGGTCCTGGTCGTTGGAGAACAAAGGATGATCGAGCGAAAGCCGACAAAGATCTTCGCGTGAATCGTTAAAGGGCGGCAAACGAAAACGATACGCGTCGCCGCCGTTTGTGATGTTCGCCGCGGTGGGACGAGGGGACCGCGTGAAATCGCGCGCATCGACGCGCGATCACGCGAATCGCTCGAGAACGGCGGCGCGATTGAGCGTGAGCCGCGTGTCGTGAACACGCGTCCACGCGTCCGCGCGATCCCTTCGAGAAATGACGCTATCCGGCCTACGTTCGAAACGCTGAAGCGATTGCGAAACATGTTGATGCGTTGGAAGAGCAAGGACAAGAGCTCCGGGAAGAGCTCCTCTTCCGGTGCCAGCCTCGGCAAGAAGAAACGGAAGTTCGGAAGGGAAGGTAAGATACCGACGAATGTTTCCTTCAGCATCGCATGCAATTTTCTCGGAGAAAGACACAATTTTTATTTAATTTTGCATCTCATATTACGTTTATTTTCTTAATTTTACACATTCGTTATAAATTATATACATTTAACTTTGTTGGATTCGCGGTAACTGTCTTTTTCTCAATCCTCGGATGGCGGACCATGGAGAGAGACCCAATTTTAATTTGCACTGTTTGTAAAACTCTTCCGCTTAAAAATTGCACATTTAATTTTATATTAATATCCTAGTATATATTTTGTAAGTTGGGGTCAGCTTGACCCAGACTCCACTATTCAATGGTTAAAACGCCGAAATTCCTTTTTGGAAATTCTTTTTTCTGAGTGGCTCGACTGAGTCATGTTTCGGCTATTCTCCCGAATCTTCGGGTACCCGCACACCCCTTCCGCCTCGACAAGGTCAACGCATCCGCTACCAACAAACGCGTGAGAGATCGATCGCGATCGATCTACTACTCTAGATCGAGTAGCCGATTCGATTTCGTCGACGACTCAGAAGAGAAAAGTTGGAAAGGTTTTCGGAACAAAGTTAAATCGACGGGTTATTCCTCGCGGCAGGGAAGCGGTAAGCGATAGATTTCTCGAGCAACGCAAAGGTCGCCCCATAAAATTGATAATCGAACAAAGCGTCGTAACTCGCGCGACCACCCAGCCTTCCAAAAGCTGCACAATAGATTCTCTTCCGGCGTTTCCCTTTATCTCCAACGTTAGCCGCGTTTTTCATCCCCTGAATCGCCTCTCTTTGTGCCCGGTCGAGGACCGTCATATTTCGAATTAAATCGCAGGAAATGGCCGATATCGCAGCGACGTTAGAACGCGTCGGGCGATAGCGGTCCGAACGTGCTTTTCGCCAACGGAAACGGAATTAAAGGCTTCCGGTAAGAGTCGGTTAATCTTTTATCGTCGCTCGCCAACGCGTCGTTCCGATGATCGACGATCGAAACGCGACGGCGGCGACGATAGGGTGAAACGACCTCAGCTTCTCACCTGTCACGAAGACGGAACGTGCATCCGAGGGAGCAGGTTGACAGGCTAGAGCCGGCTACACCCTGTCACGGTTCCTCGACGCTTGCGCGCAGGTTGCACAACCCCCGTTCCGTTCCGTTCCTTCTTTGCACCTCCGCGACTCTCCTATCGCTACGCTTCTTCGTCTTCTTCTTCTTCCCAGTGTTCGCCGGCTTTACTCTTGTATTCCGGGTGTGTACACAAGCCGCGCGCGCTTCCCACTATCGGCAGTGTGCTTACGATACCACCACCAGTGCTATCGGTATCGGGTCCGCGCTTCTCGCAGCAGCAGCAGCAGCAGCAGCGGCGGCGGCAACCTACCCTCGGCCAATCTGTCCCACCCTCTGGCCTGCCGCCGGCAGTGCCGTTCCTGAACAGTTACCTTGCATCCTCCCGTCGCGTAAGATCTTTATCGCGACCCGCCGATCCGCGCTCGGTTCGATCACTCTCGGTATAGATCGTCGGACCGTAAACGCGGGGTGGTGATCTTCTTTGAACGCGAGTGGAAAGCAAGAGGACGATGCTCCCTCGGAGGAGAAGAGCGCGCGATCGTCCCGCGATCTCTGACGGTGATGACGATCTCTGAGATCGAAGGCTGCTCATCTGCGGGGAGGAAATCGAAAGCGAACATCGTGTGTCCGTCCTGATCCTGCTCCCCCTATAACGAGATGCGTATATTCGTGTGGAGACACTGCG